TTTACTAAAAACTTAAACAAACTAAAAAAAAAAATGGTTGCCTGTAAAGTCGGTTTTACGGGCGAAGATTTTACGTGACAACGTCTTTTTCTCGGTAGAATATTTATTGATATGAATATAATTAAATTGCACAATAGGAACAAGGAATTGAATGAAAATAAGAATTGCACAAATTTTAACTATAGAAATATATTTTGTTTACTAAAACATTGTACATGTAAACTTAAACTTAACACGAGAGACTCATCGTAACGTTACCGAGCGTTACACTTTTTCATAAGTGACTCCCAGCCGCAACCTAATTTAAGACGTTGTCACGTCAATAATCTTCCTTTGATAATAATTGCACAGTTGAAATCAGTACTTATTGATCCAAGTATGTACTTGATCAGTTTTATCATTCTTAATATGTGATGATACATTTTTAAGTATGGTTTTTTCTTTGATTATGGTTTTATAAAATGCCCCACATGTTAAGCACTTCAAATTATATTGAATTCAAAGTATAAGCAGCATGTATATAAACGATAGTATTACGACTTTACTGAATTGTTAAGTACGTTTGAGAGAAAATTCTCAAACTGTATAAATCACAGGATTATTTCAATGGAAATCAAGCCTTTTCTCCGGACTTTTGATTTTTTCATCTGGTCACCCTACCTGTCCCGTTATGCGCTTGCGCTAGGGATGTCGAAAGTTGAAAAAAATATCGATATATCGATACATCGATCTTTTAAAAAATATCAATATCGGCTTCGATATATCGCGAAAAAAACATCGATATATCGGACCAATTTTCCCAAAAATATCGTACAGTAGCTCACGAAATATGACACACGGAATAATAATGGAACCAAAATTATCGCCCTAAAAATAGACCCTATTTTCGAATGATGACATAGACAATACTAAATACAGCATAGATCATAAATATGTTGAATATCATTAATCTGAGATCCAGTTACGATTTTTCCAGATACGAATTTAGTTAAATCGTGATATGCCGCTAATAATTAAAAAAATATCGTTTTCGATACGAATTTCGATATTAGTTATTTTGTATCGATATATCGAATAAAAATATATCGGCAAAAAATATCGATATATCGATACATCGATATATTTTCAACAAGCCTAGCTTGCGCAACATTCTACAGGAACACAGTACTAATCTAGAGATATCATAGCTTTTCGTCTGGTTATGATGATTAGTATAACCTAGCTAAATTTAAATTTATTATGTATATATATTTCTAAGCCATCTGCCTTAAAGCCTAAGAAATACTAGAAAAAATTCGACACGGCCATTAAGTTCGCCCGGATTGCGGATGATTCGGGTTCCATACTAGTCTGCTTCCTGGACCGCATGCAATTATTTTTGTAAAATTTTCTCTACCTTCAATAATAATTATAAACTAACGCTTATGCTCAGTAACATCAATTACCTTATAAATATATATTAATATAATGCCATCACTTTCTTCGCATTACCATTAGAGTAAGACTTCAAGTCTTTGTCAGAAATAAATAAATAAATGAATTTATCTAACACTCACACCAATGAGGGCTACCGTTTTCTGTCTCATCAGATGGCGCCACTGTTGAGTGAGGTCCTAAATTGTAACTTTTAAAGTTTATTAATACGCACATGAAATCAAAGGTTACATTTAGATCGTATTTTACCACAAAAGAACCATATCCTAAACATAATAGGCCATGCCGCAGTGACGCCCAGTTCCGTTTTATTCGGAAAAAATGGGAACATAATCATTTATCTAAGCTCAATTTTTTAATAACTGACATTGTTACCAATTATTCACAACATTATTTTAATAAGAAATAAGCCCGCGTAGTCAACCAACAAGCAATAACATTTGACATTTCGGAGACCTCACGCTACACTAGCGCCTCTAGCGGCGGATTCATACGCGATAGCCCTCATTAGCCTAGTCCCAAAGTCGCACTGTAAGGCTTTTGTTATGGGATGCTAGGTTAACGGATAGAATACATATATTGTACTTAAATAAGTATATTTATATAGAAATACATATTAAACATCCATGACTGGAGTACAAATGCTCGTATTCATCACACAAACATTTGCCCCCACCGGGATTGGAACCCGGGACCTCTTGAGTAGGCGACACCATGAAACCTCCGTACAAACCACTCCGCTACGGAGGTCGTCACATTAAGTACCTACTTTATGTATTTGTGACTAACATCTAACTTTTTTTGTGATGTGTTGTTGTGTCAATTGTCATTATTAATAAAATAAATACAGACAATGACACATCAAATTACTATAAAATGACAAAAAAGAATCTAATAAATATAATATGAATTTTCTTTTTGTCAGTTTTTTGAAACTTGGCATATAGCTGTCTGTCTGTACTAGTCTATAACATATTACCTAGCCTAAGAATTATCTATCTGTCTTCTACTTAATACTCCTTTTCGCAACTTTTATGACATTTTGTATTATATAAATATGACATATTACAAACAACACCCTAATAAAAGTACATATACCTACTCTTGAATAACTTCAAAATTTTACGATTTTTGCGTCGCCGAAGTTCCGATATCAATAAAATTTACAATTTAAGATTTACATTACCTATCTTATAAAATTACTATTGTAAATGTAGTGCTGAAATCACAATTTCAATAAAATTATCGACCTGCCTTACAACTTAAGGTTAGAGAAAATTCAACACGTCCAGCAGGGCCGCGGTAGCATAATGGTCAGTCCATTCGCTCGGATAGCGAAGGTTGCGGGTTCGAGTCCCGTCTGCTGACTGGTCCTTGTTGAACTTTTCTAGTAAAATTTTCTTTAAAATTATCGATTTTATCGATCGAATTCTACCCCAAGGGGATAAAATAGGGAATGACAGTTTGTATGAAACTTTGTCAATTTTAAACCGATCGGGCTGAGACTTTGCATGCAAGTATAAGAAGAATCATAGATGAATGTCATTGTATATAATACAAGCCTGAAAACAAAAACTGTAGTCTACACTTCAGCTCTACACCGAAGCGAAGCGAGGGCGGGCTGCTAGTATGATAATAAATTTATTAGTCATATTTATATGACTAATTACAAACAACACCCTAATAAAAACATATATACCTACTCTTGAATATCTCGCTGAAGTTACAATATCAATAAAATTTACAATTTAAGATTTACAGTATCTACCTTATAAAATTACAATTATAAATGTAGTGCTGAAATCACAATTTCAATAAAATTATCGACCTGCCTTACAACTTAAGGTTAGAGAAAATTCAACACGTCCAGCAGGGCCGCGGTAGCATAATGGTCAGTCCATTCGCTCGGATAGCGAAGGGTGCGGGTTCGAGTGCCGTCTGCTGACTGGTCCGCGTTGAATTTTTTCTAGTAAAATTTTCTTTAAAATTATCGATTTAAGATTTACAGTAGGTACCTATCTTATAATATGATAATAAATATGGCTAATTACAAACAACACCCTAATAAAAACATATACACCTACTCTTGAATAACTCGCTGAAGTTACAATATCAATAAAATTTACAATTTAAGATTTACAGTACCTACCTTATAAAATTACTATTGTAAATGTAGTGCTCAAATCACAATTTCAATTAAATTTTTAATATAAGATTTACATTACCTACCTTATAAAATTACTATTATAAATGTAGTGCTGAAATCACAACTTAAGGCTAGAGAAAATTCGACACGGCCAGCAGGGCCGCGGTAACATAATGGTCTGTGCATTCACTCGGATAGCGAGGGGTGTGAGTTCGAGTCCCGTCTGCTGACTGGTCCGCGTTGAATTTATTCTAGTAAAATTTTCTTTAAAATTATCGATTTAAGAATTACAGTAGGTACCTTTCTTATAATATCTTCGCACTACCATTATAGTAAGACTCCAAGTCTTTGACATAAATAAATAAATTTATCCAACACTCACACCAATTAGCCTAGCCCCAAAGTCGCACTGTAAAGCTTTTGTTATGGGATGCTAGGTTAACGGATAGAATACATATATAATGCGATTCATATAAGAATAGGAAAGCCAATGACCTCCATCTGTCAAATGTCGCTTGAAAAGCACGGTCTGCAAAAAAATCTCGGAACACTTTTTTAGCACTCAGCTGATTCTGGAATAAAAACCAATCATTTTTAAACAAACAATAGCAAATGATGATAATTAATATTAGTTGTTTTTTATTCATTTATTGAGCTTTCGCTATGAATGGTTAATAACCTAAATCGTCAACCAAATGTCACTTTATGTTGCGTTCAAAAACTCGATTCAAAACTTTCGTTTACATATAGGATGCATGTTCGTATGTGACCTGCATTATTATTCATAACTTCTCCGGCGATAATGCAAAGATGAGCGAAATTGAACAAATAGATTCTGAAAATGTTTTTTTTCACACAGTCTTAATAAAGAAATACTATTAAAAATCGGTTGTGTCCTTACTCAACCTTAGTAAATTAATAATATTAAAAAATCTGATGTTTTGTCTCACTTAATCTTAGTAAATAAGTTTTATTAAATAGTAAATTTTTTTTTGCTCACTCTACCTATTTGGTTTGAATTGACAGCTATGACGTCAAACTATGGCGCCCATTCGGTCCTATTCTTAGTTGAATCGCATTATATTATACTTAAATAAGTATATTTATATAGAAATACATATTAAACATCCATGACTGGAGTACAAATGCTCGTATTCATCACGCAAACATTTGCCCCCACCGGGATTCGAATCCGGGACCTCTTGAGTAGGTGACACCTTGAAACCCGTCGTACAAACCACTCCGCTACGGAGGTCGTCACATTAAGTACCTACTTATGTATTTGTACATCTAACTTTTTTGTGATGTGTTGTTGTGTCAATTTTTATTATTAATAAAATCAATACAGACAATGACTCATCAAATTACTATAAAATGACAAAAAAATATGTAGTAAATATATGAATTTTCTTTTTGACAGTTTTTGAAACTTGACATGCAGCTGTCTGTCTGTACTAGTCTATAACGTATTACCTAGCCTAAGAATCTATCGGTCTTCTACTTAATACTCCTTTTCGCAACTTTTATGACATGTTATATAATATACAAATATGACTAATTACAAACAACACCCTAATAAAAATATATATAACTACTCTTGAATAACTCGCTGAAGTTACAATATCAATAAAATTTACAATAAAAGATTTACACTACCTACCTTATAAAATTACTATTGTAAATGTAGTGCTGTAATCACAATATCAATAAAATTTTCAATTTAAGATTTGTAGTAGTTATCATATACAATTACTATAAATAGTAATAAGTAAATACATAGTACATATTGTTTGATTAACTTGCTTAATTTAAAATTTTAACATTGGTAAATATTACTTACATGAGAACGAGCCGTTGAATAATGTTTAAAATTGCTTTGTTTGGTTAAGTTATAGACAGCGCCAAATTTTTAAGCAAAACCACAGACAAATAAACTGGCGCAATAGACGTTTTTGTATGTAAAATGGCTACTGCACAGGCTGCCTTGTCTATGGTCGTTGCTCGAGAATCTTACTGGGGTGTATACTCTTTACTCGGTAACTGTAATGGTGAGCTGTTTACTCCGGTTGTTTTCGAAGCGGTCCATAGTTTTGATGTCCATAATCATAGTTATTGAGATGCCCAACCCGATTAACATTATAAACGACACCATGAGCCCCGACCTGGAAGTACACATAGTATTATTATTATTATTATTTTATGTTTAAACGGTGGCAAAAAGCATATGGCCCGCATGATGGTACGCCGCCACAATTCAATTAAATTCAATTTATTGCATTCACTCAGCTACGTATAATGCGATTCAAATAGGAATAGGAACGCCAATGACCTCTATCTGTCAAATGTCGCTTGAAAAGTACGGTTTGCAAAAAAATTGGAATCCTTTTTAGCACTCCGCTAATTCTAGAATAAAAACCAAACATTTGTACACAAACAATAACAAATATTGATAATTAATATTGTACCAGATTTATTTTTACCTATTTGGCCTTGGCCATGAATAATTGATAACCTAAATCGTCAACCAAATGTCACTTTCATTTGCGTTCAGAAACTCGATTTCAAACTTTCGTTTACATAAAGGATGCATGTTCGTATGTGACCTAGTAATAGTGCATGATTATTTATAACTACTCCGGCGGTAATGCAGAGATGAGCGGAATAGAAGAACTAGATTCTGATTAACCTTTTTTCTCACAGTCTTAAAAAATAAATATTATTTAAAAAATCGGTGTTTTTTTTTCTTAATCTTAGTAAATAAATGTTATAAAAAAAATCTGGTGCTTTTTCTCACTTAATGTTATTAAATAATTTTTATTAAATAAAAACTTTTTTTTTGCTCACTCTACCTATTTGGTTTGAATTGGCAGCTATGACATCACAATATGGCGCCCAGTCGGTCCTATTCTTAGTTGAATCGCATTATAGATGGTTACAAGTTACGAAATGCATAAAGTACCTACCATGAACCCTGTCAGGGTATCTCAATATATTAATTTCTAATAATAAATTAATTAATAAAAAAATATCTATAAGAAGAAGCCATTTTTTTATTTCTCATATCATGCATTAATGTCATCTGATTTCATTATTTTATAATATTACTTACTCAATTGAACTTGTTTACAGTATTAGTTTAATTTAGTACTTTAATTTTGTAATTGTTATTATGGAAATTCATTTATAAAATTAAATTGGTCAATAATTAAAATTAATAAATATGTCAGTAAACATGGTTATAATAATCTAGGTTTGTATTTTAAAGATCGCCTCATTAATATTATTTTATTGCAAAGTATTCAGTTATGGTGTGAAAGCATTTATATAAAAAATATATTTTCAATATTATCCTAAATTGGTTAAAATATTTTTCCTTTTTATGTGAGCGGGTAATTTACTAGGCGCGTCTACACAGAGCGAGCAGCATCGCGAGGCATTTCGCTTAATGTAGAGCGGCCGAGCTCACAAGTTTCGGTTTTTCGTTTTGCTCAAAGGCACAGCGGTGACACTCTCTGTACGTGTGAGTTCCAGCGTCAGTGACCTTGAGCAGGAGCGTGTATGCGCTAGGGTTGAACTTGGAATTTAGACTTGTGCCAATGAATATTTATGCATAGTAAGTTATTAAATGTAAACTGATTCAAGGATACTGGGGTAAATAATGGAAGGATAGGTTTGATTTTATAATCAATTTTTAATCTTTTAATGTAGGTACTATAACAAATTGCTAACTTTTATATATTTTCTGCTTTTTCGATTCGTTTTATAATTCTTATTATTATCTAAATAATAATAAGATTGCGTAGCGTAGTCAGTCTGTGCGTGCAATGCAGTGCAACGCTATTATTTTACTATTTCGCTACTGCCATGCCTTCGGTCGAGGCAGTCGGCGACTGCCCTCTCCACGCCCCGCGCGCCGCGCAACGCCCCCACACACCTCCAGACACCCACACATAGCCGCGGGCGATTTTACGAGCACACATGCTTAAGTGTCGCTTCTTTTCGCGTAGTGTATATATTCTGTGTCAAAGGTGAGGTGCCTCAGTCGTTAGCCGCGCGCACTCTGGATGCTCGCATATTTTGTTCCGTGCCTCGAGGCAATTGCCGCGCGAGGCTGCCCGCTCTGTGTAGACGTGCGTACTAAATTACCCGCGCACATAAAAAAGGAAAAACATTTTAACCAATTTAGGTTAAATTTGAAAATATATTTTTTAGATAAATGCTTTCACACCATAAATGAATACTTTGCAACAAAATAATATTAATGAGGCGATCTTTAAGGTTTTAATCTCTGTGATTTTCTGTCAGGTGCAGGTTACTTGGCCAGACGGGCGCTCAATCACGGTAATAATATCATACAGTATTCTATCTTCATACAAACGGCCGGAAAGCGAGTCATACCTACGCCACTCGAGTTCGATGTGCTCTCGGCGGGCACCGAACGGTCTGAATTGTTTTTTATGCAGTTAGCCGTGCTTAAACATGCGTTTTGTATTGTAAATATTTTATTTAATTAAGTAGATACCTACATAATTTAGTATGGAAAAGAACAAACGACGATCAATATCGTACAACAGCACAATTGATGTTTTTGGTTGCTTGAACTCTTCAATAACACACCCAGAGATATCATTTTTTAAATTACCTGAAATATTGGAAAGGTGTCTTACCTTTATAGAAAAATTTTTATATACCTATCTACTAGTACGTTATTTGTTTCTAATATTTAGGTATTTCGGTTTTTCCATCGGGCAAAATATCTGGAATAATATATAAATAAGTGGTTAGGATGAAAAAAGGGACTAACAAGTAATCTACCTACACTCGCGTTAAAAACAAAACTACATAAAATACTGTAGGCTGGCGGCCCTACCGCGTGCTAACGCAGCGTTCGGTGTAGGCATTTATTTTCAAGGACAGGGCGGAGTCACAATACTGTATGATATTATTACCGTGGCTCAATTCAATTCAATTCAATTTATTTGCATTAAATAGGGTACAAATAATGGTGTTACATTTCATCTAAGTTGTCTCTTAACCTATTTAGTCATATAAAGATAACATGCAAATTTTTCTATATTAATTACCTATATAAATGTCAATAATTCTTATTATAATATTTTAATTATTCGATGTCGTCAATTTATCATGTCCATAATTATCTGAATGTCATAATTAGAATGGTCTTGTAAAGAATCAGAATTAAATGTTATATTTAAACCCATTAAGCATGTCTTTAACCCATGCATCAAATCCTACCATAATTCATGAACTCAACCATACTGTAAAACGTTTTGACTTGAACTTATTAAAGGTTTGGCTTTTAATTTCTTCTGGAATTTGATTATAAATTTTAATTGCCATCGCCGCTGCATTTGTTTGGAATCGCTTTGTTTTCGGAACTATGTCCATTTTTATTTTATTAGGATACCTCAGACTTCGATCTGTTACATCTTTTGCGACTGTATACAAATGGTAGTGCTGCTTTACAAAAGTTGCTACTTCGAGAATGTACAAAGAAGTCAAAGTTAAAATATTTAGGTCCTTAAAATATGTTCTACAAGAAACATCCGGGGCTATATTACAAATTGCCCGTATACACCTTTTTTGGCATACAAACACTCTTTTAATGTCCGTGCCATTTCCCCAGACTATAAGACCGTATCTTAATATCGTTTCCACATAAGCATAATAAGCTGTGATAGCTGTGGCTTTATTTGCAACTTTTGATAATTTATGCAGAGCAAAGACAAACGAACTTATTTTATTGCTAATTTTATTTATATGTTCCTTCCAATTTAAACATGGTTCTATTATTAATCCTAGGAAAATCGTATTATTTACATGTCGAATTATTTTATCATTAAATTTAATGTCAACTGTTTTATTTTTATAATTATTAAAATTCATTAAATTAGTTTTGTCCAAGTTGATTTGTAAATTATTTTCTGAAAGCCATTTGACTATAGTTATCAGTGTGTTTATAATTTCAGTTTGATGTTCCTTTAAGGAAGCACTTTTATCCGCTCTAATTCGAGCGGTAAATCCCTAATGCTCTACCTGTCTCTCTTGATAGTATGATGATCAATCAACGATATTAAATACCCTAGATACACCAACACAAACAAAATCGTGCCTGAAACCTGTCCACAAGGTACATTGAACGATCCACGGAGCTCCGTAAGATGATCGCGTAGTCAAAATCAATATAAGGCATTATTTAAATATTGAAAGTAACCTTTAATACATACAGTATAAGGTCTTAAATAAAACGCATGCGTCAAGGACTTCTGATAGTTCGAAATGCAAGCTCGTAAAATTTTACGACTTATTGCTATACGCGGAAGAATTTAGACCTTAGTTCTTTGACTCTACGCGCAATTCTGAACGCGCTGTTAGCAATATAGCAGGCACGGACCGCGAGGAAAAGCGGCTATATGGCGACGTATAACCGACCATGCAATTGAATATCACAAATATTTTATAATAAATCAGTTTATTGTAAGTATTAGATCAAAATTTACTTCAAATGCGTTAAATTAACAAACATTGACTAGATACCTGTCGAAAAAACGACACTTTTCGTACTCTAAGTATTATTTTCGCATTTTTTCGCGGAGCTCTGTGGCATATTGACTTTGTAACGGTTCGCGCGTGACTGTGAAACAAGAAGTGCTTGAGTGGAGTTCAAGCACTTCTTGATTGGGACACATTTTGAGCGTTCGTGGTGTATCTAGGGTATTTAATGTCGTTGTGATCAATAAATACCGTTTTAATTCTAAAAAATCTGCCACTTCAGCCAACCCAATATATCTGGCTTGAACTCATTCTTCTAACCTTTTCGAGTGTAATATATATTTTTTATCTAATATTTCTCTGGCATTTTAAGGATTGGGTGGCTAACGCAGCACATTGTTCTGTCCGGTCACCAGCCTCCACAAAATATGATCTCCACAGTTTCTCAATTGGGCACTCGCTTCTTATATTTCTGTGGCATTTTAAGGATTGGGTGATTGGGTGGCTAACGTAGCACACTGTTCTGTCCGGTCACCAGCCTCCACAAAATATGATCTCCACAGTTTCTCAATTGGGCACTCGCTTCTTATATTTCTCTGGCATTTTAAGGACTGGGTGATTGGTTGGCTAACGCAGCACACTGTTCTGTCCAATCAATGGCCTCCACAAAATATGATCTCCACAGTTTCTCAATTGGGCACTCGCTTCTTATATTTCTCTGGCATTTTAAGGATTGGGTGATTGGGTGGCTAACGTAGCACACTGTTCTGTCCAATCAATGGCCTCCACAAGATATGATCTCCACAGTTTCTCAATTGGGCACTCGCTTCTTATATTTCTCTGGCATTTTAAGGATTGGGTGATTGGGTGGCTAATGCAGCACACTGTTCTGTCCAATCAATGGCCTCCACAAAATATGATCTCCACAGTTTCTCAATTGGGCACTCGCTTCTTATATTTCTCTGGCATTTTAAGGATTGGGTGATGGGGTGGCTAAAGCAGCACACTGTTCTGTCCAATCAATGGCCTCCACAAGATATGATCTCCACAGTTTCTCAATTGGGCACTCGCTTCTTATATTTCTCTGGCATTTTATGGATTGGGTGATTGGGTGGCTAACGCAGCATACTGTTCTGTCCAATCAATAGCCTCCACAAAATATGATCTCTACAGTTTCTCAATTGGGTACTCCTAGTTTCTATACTTTGTATTTGAAAATATAAAAATATTTACCATATAGGGACTGTCGTGAAGCCGATGCAGTTAAAAGCATCAGCGAATTTTTCCGTGCTGTCCATAAATGGCTGCATCTGGAATGAAAACATTGATGATTAGTTCCCTTCTTGCAAAAAGTCTCCAGATTAATAGAAGTAAAAGCTGGAGTTGGCTGTTAGTTCGAAAACCCGGTGTTGGCTGTCGAGCCAATTTGCCAAAGCGCCAACTTTAACAGTAGTCCAAAAAGAGGATAAAGGATGTACCTATATTTTTGGAAAGGAAAAATATAAACTTTATATTATACTAGCTGCCTCGCTTCGCTTCGGTGTAGAGCTGGCGTGTAGACTACAGTTTTTCTTCTCAGGCTTGTATTATACACAAAGACATTCATCTATGATTCTTTTTATACCTGCATGCAAAGCCTCAGCCCGATCGGTTTAAAATTGACAAAGTTTCATACAAACTTCCATTCCCTATTTTATCCCCTTGGGGGTAGAATTGATCAAAATCCTTTCTTAGCGGATGTCTACCTGCATGCCAAATTTCAGCCCAGTGGTTTGGACTGTGCGTTGATAGATCACTATGTCAGTCAGTAGTACCTTTGAGTTTTATATATATAGATACTCATTTATGTCATAAAACTTGTAAAGATAGATCAGGGGTATTTCCATATGTTTAAATAGTATCTTGTATATTTTTATAAATACAGTGGAATGGCTTATTTAACTTTGGAAACGTTAGGTTGCTGAAGCTGTAGAAAACTGGCACCTGTCCTATGTTACCTGAATGTCGGGCAGCGCCGGCGCCTGCAGGTTGAGCCCGGTGTTCTCCAGGCTGAACTGCACCTCTATTCTAATAGCAGCTGCCCTATACTATCTGGATGTCGATCAGCGTGAGAGTGGCCTATTCGGAGGAGTAGATGAGGGGCAGCGAGCACTCGTAGGAGCCTCGGGTGGCGCCGGCACCTGCAGGTTGAGCCCGGTGTTCTCCTGGCTGAACTGCACCTCTATTCTAATAGCAGCTGCCCTATATACTACCTGAATGTCAGGCAGCGTGAGAGTGACCTCCTCGGAGGAGCAGATGAGGGGCAGCGAGCCTGCGTAGGCGCGTCGGATAGCGCCGGCGCCTGCAGGTTGAGCCCGGTGTTCTCCAGGCTGAACTGCACCTCTATTCTACTGGCAGCTGCCCTATACTACCTGGATGTCAGGCAGCGTGAGAGTGGCCTCCTCGGAGGAGTAAATGAGGGGCAGCGAGCCTGCGTAGGCGCGTCGGACAGCGCCGGCGCCTGCAGGTTGAGCCCGGTGTTCTCCTGGCTGAACTGCACCTCTATTCTACTAGCAGCTGCCCTATATACTATCTGAATGTCAGTCAGCGTGAGAGTGACCTCCTCGGAGGAGTAGATGAGGGGCAGCGAGCACTCGTAGGCGCCTCGGGTGGCGCCGGCACCTGCAGGTTGAGCCCGGTGTTCTCTAGGCTAAACTGCACCTCTATTCTACTGGCAGTTGCCCTATACTACCTGAATGTCGGGCAGCGTGAGAGTGGCCTCTTCGGAAGAGTAGATGAGGGGCAGCGAGCCTGCGTAGGCGCGTCGGATAGCGCCGGCGCCTGCAGGTTGAGCCCGGTGTTCTCCTGGCTGAACTGCACCTCTATTCTACTAGCAGCTGCCCTATATACTATCTGAATGTCAGTCAGCGTGAGAGTGACCTCCTCGGAGGAGTAGATGAGGGGCAGCGAGCACTCGTAGGCGCCTCGGGTGGCGCCGGCACCTGCAGGTTGAGCCCGGTGTTCTCTAGGCTAAACTGCACCTCTATTCTACTGGCAGTTGCCCTATACTACCTGGATGTCGGGCAGCGTGAGAGTGGCCTCTTCGGAAGAGTAGATGAGGGGCAGCGAGCCTGCGTAGGCGCGTCGGATAGCGCCGGCGCCTGCAGGTTGAGCCCGGTGTTCTCCAGGCTGAACGGCACCTCTATTCTACTGGCAGCTGCCCTATACTACCTGGATGTCAGGCAGCGTGAGAGTGACCTCCTCGGAGGAGTAGATGAGGTGCAGCGAGCCTGCGTAGGCGCGTCGGATAGCGCCGGCGCCTGCAGGTTGAACCCGGTGTTCTCCAGGCTGAACGGCACCTCTATTCTACTGGCAGCTGCCCTATACTACCTGGATGTCAGGCAGCGTGAGAGTGACCTCCTCGGAGGAGTAGATGAGGTGCAGCGAGCCTGCGTAGGCGCGTCGGATAGCGCCGGCGCCTGCAGGTTGAGCCCGGTGTTCTCCTGGCTGAACTGCACCTCTATTCTAATAGCAGCTGCCCTATACTACCTGGATGTCGGGCAGCGTGAGAGTGGCCTCTTCGGAAGAGTAGATGAGGGGCAGCGAGCACTCGTAGGCGCGGCCTAGTACGGCGGCGGGCGCGTCGGGTGGCGCCGGCGCCTGCAAGTTGAGTCCGGTGTTCTCCAGGCCGAATTTCACCTCCACGCCCACCGCCTGCCACCACCCGCCCGCCTGCTTGAAGCTGAACTCCAGCGTAATCTTAAGACAAAGGTAATTAAGTATACTCTTATTAGGTACTCATGGTTGACATAAATACTGACAAAATACTACCAACCAGATATTAACACCATAAGTCGCTCTAGTGGTATAGTAGGCGACGAGGTGTAACACTGGGCGCTAAAGTTCGGGGGGCTACTTGAACTTTAACTCCTTCCGCAATCCTCTTCAAATCTAATGTGATGATAAGCGAATCTTTCTCCCAAATACCAAAAGAATGGGATCACGGAATAGGTAAAAGTTGTACAATTAGGCCTACGGTATGACTTTACCTTTACTCTACCCTGAACAATGGCTCCACCCACAATACAGTCCTTTACTCTCTAAAAACAAATACCATGCAGGAATGCATGAATAAAAAATATCATCTGCAGTATCCTGTAAGCTGAAGCATTCTCCAGACATTCACTACAATCGTTAAAAGAATCTACTATGCCCAGTTGCCTGAATGCCTACCTCATATTTGATCAAAATAACTGCTGTTTATACATACCTTGTCTCTGGAGTCGCCATCCGCGAATCTTACCACCAGGATGGTGTAGAGCCGAGTGGGCTTGACCGTGGGCTCGCCGACCTGCGTGTCTAACACTGTGGTGGAACCGTTAGCCCAACGCAGCTCTGGCCAGCCAGATGAGTATAGGAGAGCGCTTTTACCGGGAGGACCTGAAATATCAGACAAGGTCAAAAAGGCTACGTATTTTGCCTGAAGGATCACCTTGCTTCGTCAGTAGGTAACTCGCTGAGACCATCGACGTTAAGTCTGTAAACTCCGAGAGGGTTGCGTGAATCTTACTTGCCGAAGCTTATAAGACAGTCAGGACCACAGAACACAGAAAGAGGTTAGAAGGGTCTTCAGAGACATTTTGTACGGGAACCGATGTCGCCGGCTCGCCCGCACTACACTTACACCTAATAGATATTAGCCAATCAAACTCCGTGACATCAAACAATCGAACCAATCGGCGCTCACACCCGAGCGCAACAAAGCAATCGTTACCAAGTTTTGGTCAAGTTATGAGCATTTGCTCATAACTAACTGTGGCGCGCCTACCCCGCCCACAAGGCCCTTCTAACATCTTTCTGTGTTCTGTGGTCAGGACCGTACCGTAGTAAGTGGTAATCATTATTTTTTACCACTCAGAAGGATTCTTGGTCATGTCTTAATTTTGATTAGTTAGAAAGAAGAAAGTGTGATCAACATGATGTAGGAAGGGGAATTGCTCGGATTGATTCCAGCTGCCGCTTGAAACTATCGTACACTACATCGCGACAATAATTGCATCCCCATCATCTTGATGCGTGGCTATGTGGCAAAAATGTGAATACATTGTCACCAGCAGCAATACGACCGACGTACAACGTAAAATACGACGCAAAAACCTTCAAAATAAAGAGCGTACTCTTTCCTTTGTGGTACTCCTGGTGTAGCAGGTGTCTATAGGCGACGGTGATCACTTACCATCAGGTGAGCCGATAGCTCGTAGGCCCCTATTATCATCAGCCTATAGCCCCATATACATATATGCCCCCTATTTTATCTATCTTCTATACTTATAATAAATCTGTAGAGAGGTCAATTCTGTACATGAAATATATTTTCAAAATAACTATCAGGGGGTGTTTAGTGATCGATACTGATGCCAAAAATGCAATCAGTAAAATTTTTGTCAGTCTGTCTGTCTGTCTGGCTGTGTGTATGTTCCTTATAGAAACAAAAACTACTCGACGGATTTTAACGAAACTTGGTACAATTATTCTTCATACTCCTGGGCAGGTTATAGTATACTTTTCATCACGCTACAATAAAACGAGCAGAGTAGTGAAGGGAAATGTTGGGAAAACGGGAGAAGTTACTCCATTTTTTAAGCTTCCGTCGCGTGTGCAGCCTTAATGGTTAAAGTTACATAGAAATCATGTATGACGGAAATATTCTACATAAATTGTCTAAAAAATATCCCGCAACAGCATATGTCTATCTTTTATGGTTGACTCACAATAACACGTGTAATTATATAAATAAAGTCATTGTTTATAGCACAAGCCTGAGAACAAAAACTATAGTTTACACTACAGCTCTACACCGAATCGAAGCGAAGGCGGGCCACTAGTAAAAAATAAGTATGTGTGTCGAAGAAACGGGTGTTACCCGATGTGTATAAAACTCACCTGTGGCATTATAGAGCGAATACTTGGGCCCTTGCCTCACAGGCCTGTCCTCCTCCGAGCTCGGCGTGCCAGCGCTGGTGCTGCTCTCATCCGCTTGGCGTCTCACGCGGTTCCACTCGCCTTCCGTGTAATCGGCCTGGCTCTGGGACACCGAGTTGCCTGAATGGTAGAACCTCAATTTAGTAATACATAAATTATACTGGTGCATTAAGAATCTGGACTCTGGTCCAGCCTTAACCAACCAACATAAGATGCAGCTGATGCTGGTGCTGAACTATATACAACGAGTTCTTCTAAGCTATTGAGCTTATAGCTTCTCAGGAAACGTAGATGGTTTTCTGTATGTGATCAATCCATGAGGTCAAGGACTACTTTTTCACGGAGATTCCTTCCCTTTTTGGGTCCACTTGTTTACAACAAAATAAACAAAGAAATAAATATCTATCCATTAAATAGGTTATTGATCAAAAAATCAGTATCATCCTTTCTTATGACAAAATCATATGAAGAGACAGAGGAGCTTATTTCTATACAACGATAATATAATTTTAACTTGGTTCTGTTATGATGATTGTGCACGTTATTAAGTTTATATTGAATTATAATTTAAGAATAAAAATTTTGTCATCGTTAAGAATCCATTGGACCTTTTCATGCATACTTTTACACATCCTCTCACATACATCCATTCACACGCACATTACACAGAGAGAGGTCATTCTCTTACACAATTTTTATTTTAACAGTTTTATAAAATCCAAATAAGTATTTCTTGTAATATCAGTATTACAAGAAACTTACTTCACTAGCTTATAGGATACAAGTAATTGTCTAAACCTGAGAATTGAGGCACTCTGTATGCTGAAACACAGGATGAAAATCCTAGTTCGGCAGCAGACGCTAAAGATTGTCTTTTATATTCTAAAGCTCATATATGGTGTCCATTAGGTGTGAGCGTTCTAATGACGAACCGGTTTCAAGGACCGTTTTGTGTTCCGCGACGATAGAACCGTTTTACGTTTCGGATCAAAGCAGTCTTCGTCGAACAACTAGTCCTCGGATTGTCTACACGCCAATTTGTACTTAATGAAGAAGAAAATACAGTCTATAATAGAACGCAATGTTATAAGACCGTTTCGTTTTATGACAAATTAAGCTTTGACTTTACAATAATATAATCTTTATTACTGAACATTTAAAGTCGATTATCGTATAACACTACATTTATTTCGATGTTTCGTCGTCTCGTTCGCAGCAACGAAACGAACGTGAACAAGATTTCATTTAGTTCAGTTTCGTTGCGCTACATTCGTTCGACCGTCGCGTCGCGTGTCGTTTCGTTGCGTCACCCAGCCGCAACCAAAACCAGTTGCGAACGAGAACCGTTTCGAGGACTAGTTTTCGTTTAAGAGAAAACGGTTGCGTTTCGTCGTCAGAAATTTTGAGAACGACCCACCGCTAGTGTCCATAGTTTATAAGACGTAATGATACTTATATGCTGGTCTAAAATAAATATTATTATTATTATTATGGCTAGTTTTTTGTACAAGCTGGCTAAGGCTGGACCAGTTAACACACACGAATGTTGGCATTGTATTAGAAAACCCTATCCATCTAAGCTTATCCACGATGGTGCAGTGGTTAGCGTATTCGATTTGTGATTGCCGGAAATAAGCAGCATTCGCAATGTCTAGTTATTGGATAGCTGACCAAAAAACTTCCTTTGCAAGGTTCCTAGAGTACTTTGTTTATATCAAAGAAGCTAGATTTTCGGGGGCTGCATATTCTCTTAATAAAAATAAAAATGGGTGCGTGTACTTATGTAGGCGCGTGAGAAGTTATCCTTCTTTGGCATCGTTTAAAATTAGTTTTTAATTGCATGCAAATAATTAATTACAATAAATTAATAAAAAGTCTGGAAAAGGACACAGTCAATAAAGTTCAGTTTTAATTTGAAAAATAAATAAATAATCAAAATATTCAATTAAAATCGCTACTGAATATAATTTATTAGAACATATGTGATTTGCACTTGTATGAAACTCAAACACGTATTCCGAATATACAAACTAGTAACATGTGGATAAATATTATAAATATGAATACCTATAACTGTTACTTTATTACAAAAAATAAAGATGTGGTTTTTGGTTCTACTACACCAATGGTCAAGAGATGGCGCTGTAGTCTCCTGAATCGCGCTTTGGTTCCGTTGTTCCAGATTAATAAATACTTTTGATAGGCGATAGGCCTTCACAATGCAGTCGTTAGCACCCACTAAATAGAGATTCTATTTCTATTTTGTTGGTAGATTTTCTTAATGTGCGGTAAACACAAAAGTAACGCAAGAATGCTTCATGCTGTTAAAATTTTGTGTTACAGTGATGCGCGCGCATCTTAAAATTTCACTCTCATCATTTTTTCATAACGCGCCTAACGAAGTATAACTTCAATAATATTTTGATAATGCCTGACGTGTAGGTCCTTACCGAGTATCCCGAGCACCCTGCCGGCTCCGTAGATGTCCTGGAGCCGAGCGAATGTTTCCGTCATCTGGGCGTCTCGCTCCGACCAGGGGCCTTGCAGAGTCAGCATCTAAGAGTAAATAAATAATTATGCGGAGTTTTTGGCGGGATTTCATCGAGTGCGCTTGGCGTCTTATTTTAATTATTCTTTAATTTGTTCATATTGGATATTGTGAAATAAAATTGGTGTGATAATATTACCGTACCGATAATCATCATCAGCCTATTAATGTCCCCACTGCTGGGGCACAGGCCTTCCCTATGGATGGAATAGGGAGATTGGGCCATGACCCACCACGCGGGCCCAGTGCGGATTAGTGGGTGTTAACCACTGCAGATGCAGCCGGGACCAACGGCTTAACGTGCCTTCCGAAGCACGGAGGAGCTCGAGATAGTAAATTTTTGGTCACCCATCCAATGACCGACCACTGCGAAAGTTGCTTAACTTCAACGACCGCAGCCGAACGCGCTAACCCTACCGATAATAGTACCGTGTTATAACCGTCTGCGCAACTGAAGAATTAGTGAAATATTTAAAATATACGCTATTCCGGTCAAGTGGACGTGAGAATTTTATTGTAGTATTGAGTCTCACAGAAGCTTATCGAAAAAGCCAACTCGATATATTTCGTGCCAAACACTCCAAGAAGCATTAGAATGCGTCACACCCACATTCTAATGTAAAAAAGGAAGATTAATACAAAAATAAGACGATGGCTGCATGGCCTATGCCATTTTTCTCAGTAGAGAAGAATAGAACTAAAAAAAAATATGCATAGATGAATAATTGGTCTCGCTTCAGTCAGACCAATCATTCATCTATGCAATTATGTTTAATGTAGGTATAACATTTCACTGCTAGGATCTAGCTCCTGGATCACAGAGCATGGCGTCTACTTGTGCCAAGCAAGACCCACTCCAGATCGTTCTGCCGCAGCAGTAGCAGAACTTAGTAAGTATAATATTTAAGAATCAAGTGACGAGCCGCAGTGCACCGCATTGCAAAAATGCGCCAAAGTACACTGCATTCGTGACGGGGCGCACCGCAAGTCGCAACGCAATAATTGGACCAGGGGGCCGTTCATAAAATACGTTCGCATACAAGGGGGGGGGGAGGGGTCTTGCTAAGTGTGACAAGATGTGACAAGGGGAGACGGGGGGTCTACGGCAACGTGACGTTCGTCGTTCATTAATTTTTTTTAAATTAGTGTTTCTTTCAACTATTTTTCTTTCTCAATTTTCATCAAGATAGAAAATCATTTATTTCGTATTTAGTAAACATATAGACATTCAAACGTATATAGTTTTATTATATAATAAATTGTAACTTGATATATTTACTCATGTTTATTTTTCGACATTAGCGCATATTTATACAGGGTGTTACAAAAATACAAATAAAGCTTGAAGGGCGTTGAAGTACATCATATAAGGAGTCTTCTCTAATTTTCTTAAAATCTTTGCATGAAGTTTTAACTTTTTATAAAAACAGATATTTTTAATGATTAATAAAAAAATCGATCATTTTAAGATACTTCACTAGTTCGAGTATCATTAAAAATAACTGTTTTTATAAAAAAATAAAACTTCAAGCAAATATTTTAAGAAAATTAGAGAGGACTCCTTATATGATGTACTTTAACGCCTTTCAACCTTTATTTATATTTTTGTAACACCCTGTATATTTAAATTTTATTATAAAAACTAAATAAATATTTAAATTCTTAAAATTTGTGTACTATCAATTGAAATTAATCATACTTGGGGAGGGGGGTGGGTCTCCGTTTTTGTGACGGAATATTTCAAGAGGGGTCACAGAAAGTGTGACACAGCGTGACAATAGGGGGGGAGGGGGTCAGAAAAAGCTGATTTTAGCGTGACGTATTTTATGAACGGCCCCCAGTCAGCCGTTGGCAGTCCAAAATGTTGAATAGTGCTGACCAATAATGGTATACTATTGATGTACTTACTTCGGAATAGCGTGACTGCTCCTTTCAACATACACTGTGGCGGGAAGAATCGTAACCCATTTATAACATCGTCGCAAAAATACGCTTACTTGCTAAGCCAGTCCGCCAGTGATCCGCCAGTGAATTGCGATCTTGCAATGCGGTGTGCCATAGTTCATATTATGTGGCCCAGCTATAGTGTACTATCTCTTATCTATTAGACAAGTACGTCCGTCCGTCCGTCTCTCTGTGGTGCTGTTTCAGCGGCCAAACCGTAAGAGATAGATAAAGAGAATGTTTAAGTTATAAGTTAAGAATAGTCTGATAAGACTACAAACCGGATTTGAGTAACGTAGCACTTCCGGTTTTCGAGAAATCACGAATTTCAAACGAAACCACACAAAATCTCCGAAGTTCTCAATTAATTAAATACATTTTTTTTTAAATCAGGTTTTGGTGAACATTTGGTTCACTGGTTTGCTAGTAGTTCATATTATGTAAAAAATACATATACGAAAATGTTTTAAGGAGATTTTTGTTATGCAATTCGTTGCGGTGCTAGCCGCCATAGTATACGAGAGTCTTTATGACACATCGTTTTTATTTTGTCTTTATAGCTAAGGGCTCTTAAACAAAACACGGTACCCCGTCGTGTCGTGCTACGGTGCGGCACCGTACGGTTGATATGACGACGCAATGAGGGCTACCGTTTTCTGTCTCACCAGATGGCGCCACTGTTGAGTGAAAGTCCTGAATTGTAACTTTTAAAGTTTATTAATACGCACGTAAAGTCAAAGTTTATATTTTAATCATATTTTATTTATTTATTCATGGAAAACAAACAGCATGTTAAAACTAAGGATAAAACGAGATGATGTAGCATTGATATGCCTTATACAGTTTTCACAAATACAATTCAAATAAAATATACTTAATCCAATCGAGGCCGTAGATTAATTTAAAACTATATAAAAATAAAAACACAGAAGTAAAAAATTAAGCATAAAGCCATACCCACACAGAAAATGGTGATAGAAATATAAAGTAATTTAAATTAGGTTTCATTATTATTATTAAAAAATTTACTATTCAGTCTTTTTGAAATAATTTTGTCTCGCCAGAAATACGTCCACATCACTTGAATAATTATTATTGAAATTTTGTTTTACTCTATTAAAGTAGGAATTTTGTCTATAATTTGTGGAACATAAATCAGTATGGAATCGCAGATAATTGCGTCTGGCAACTGTACGGAATGGTACCTGGATTTTAACCAATGATAGCAGCCCATTGCTGTCTATCTTGCCGAGAATTAAATTGTGGAAAAATGTTAGGTCATTTTAATACAAAAGAATCCGTATCCTAAACATAATCGGCCATGCTACAGTGATGCGCAGTTCGGTTTTGTTCGGAAAAAAGAAGGATATGATATTTTTGCTTAACTCCGCTTTTAAATAACTGACGTTCATTGCTACGTAACTCAAATTTGCCATAATTAGCCTAGTTCTTACCAAATATTCACAACATTATTTTAATTTATTTTATCTATTTATTTTTTTATTTAATTTTTGGGAGACCAACAGCTCATAAAACAGACATAGTTGAGGAAAAATTAGTAACAGAAGGCCAATTATAGGTCTCCACGTTTAAAAAACAGAAATCTTTATACTTTTACATATAAAATTAAAAATGTGCGGACAAAATAATATGATTAGTCTACATAGTAAAGACAATTCGCCCTCTTAACAATATTAAACAATGTTCTTTTATTAATAGCAAATTAATGTTATTATTTAGTTTAAGTTCACAATTGTTAGTGTATAGATACTATCATAATACTCGTTCAAAAAATTCACTGCATAGAAGACGCCTTGCAGTTGCTATACCAGAATTGAATATATCAAAGTCTTTTCTAGACTTGCAAAATTTGTAATTCGTATTAATTAAAAATAAACCCGCGTAATCAACTCGCAAGCAATATATTTAGACATTTCGGAGACCTCACGCTACACTTGCGCCTCTAGCGGCGTTTTCATACACGATAGCCCTCATTTTGACATCGCAAAATGGACCGGACCAGACATGTTCCCCTCCTGCTGGTATTACCAAGGCGTATGGACACATCCTTAGATTAAAACTTAATCTAAGGATACATCCATTTCTTTCACTTTTAAAAATACCGTACGGTATCGATGACGTCGTGCCGTGCGTCGTCGGGTTGCCAGGCCATAAAATGCAAAGGCCGGACTGCGCACTATATAAGGCCTGACATTTTGCCCTAAAAGCCGGACATATTTATTATATCAGACAGCGGGGCGGGGTTGTAACGCCCACGTCACGTGCCGCGCGCTAGAGATGGGCGTTTTTAGGTATTTGTGAAATCGATGCGCATCGGTATCGCTTCGATGCCAAGTGAATGTCAGTATCGTGGTATCACTAACTTAGCAATGCAGGTGGCAAAAATTGGAACTAAAATTTGTCCATAGCATTGTGACATTTTTCTTCACCGCTAGTGACATCTTCACCGGCACAGATAAGTTTGTGGCACCGTTGCTATAGTAACGTTGACGGAAACTAGATGGCATCGGCATCCAATACCGGCATCCAGTCGCATCGGATGCGCGCATCCAAGCCTGGCATCGTTATCGCGCATCGTTATTCTAAAAACGCCCACCCCTACCGCGCGCGCTAACAGTTTGCTCTCTTGTCCGCTCCGACGCTTGTCCGCCCATCGTCGTACGAATTGCCACTCTGACAAAAAGTCTGACAAAAGCCGGACAGGCCAAACACGTACATATTTGGCCGGACGCGACCGCAAAAAGCCAAACATGTCCGGCTAGAGCCTAGGCTTGTTGAAAATATATCGATGTATCGATATATCGATATTTTTTGTTCGATATATCGATATTCTTTGACTATATATTTTGATTCGATATATCGATACATCGATACAAAATAACCAATATCGAAATTCGTATCAAAAACGATATTTTTTTAATTATTAGCGGCATATCACGATCTAACTAAATTCGTATCTGGAAAAATCGTAACTGGATCTCAGATTAATGATATTCAACATATCTATGATCTGTGCTGTATTTAGTATTGTCTATGTCATCATTCGAAAATAGGGTCTATTTTTAGGGCGATAATTTTCGTTTCCATTATTATTCCGCGTGTCATATTTCGTGAGCTACTGTACGATATTTTTGGGAAAATTGGTCCGATATATCGATGTTTTTTTCGCGATATATCGAAGCCGATATTGATATTTTTTAAAAGATCGATGTATCGATATATCGAAATTTTTTTCAACTTTCGACATCCCTACTAAAGCCGGACACCAGGGGGCCAATCGCCTAACTGGATTGCTTTGGAAAACGCTATCGCTTACGATTTCATTTTGTTATTTCTAACCGCCGAAATACCTCACGCTCATTTTCTTTAACATTGTTATTACCAATGCAAAAGAAAAAAAAAGAGCGCGAGGCATTTGAAAACCTCAGGGGGCTAGAAATAACAAAATGAAATCGTAAGCGATAGCGTTTTCCAAAGCAATTCAGTTAGGCGATTGGCCCCCTGGCAAGCCTAGTCGTGGCACGCTGTGATGTGGTGTCGCGAATTTTTACGTCTCGTCGCCGTAATTTTTTACAAAACGCTGACACGTCGCAACCTGAAGCGATACCGCATCGCAGCACGACGCGACGTTTGTATCGTGTATTATGTATGAGCCCTAAGCGATCACTGTAATCACCTGAGTGTTTCGAACATATTTATTTATTTATTCTTTATTGCATGCCACAGATAGTGCAAAAAACAACATTATCATAAACTGTACAAACATGTGACACCCTGCAAGGGCGTTGCAATTCTACTGAAATTATTATTATTATTTAAACAAACAATCAAATATATTATAAAAAAAATCAATTCAATTGTTAAACATGCATCTTACCAAAATTAAAATTTAAAAATACATATATTTTACAATTTCAAAACTACAGATATTAATAAACAATTTTCACACTCAGAATTTTTAATATAATATAAAGGTATGTCATGAAATTTAATATTTTTTTTTATTACTTCATTAAAATTATATATCAAATATGTTTATTTTGGAAAAATTCTAATATATTATAATATGATATTCCTTTAGACATTTTTCAAAAATTGTATCGTTTTCCAAATTTATAATATTGTTGGGTATGTGATTATAAATTTTAATTATCATGGAGTGTGGAGAATTAGATACCAATTTCAAGTTTGAAAACGGGAGCTTCAGTTTATTCTGGTAGCGATCATTACGTGTTACTAATTTTACTGGGAAGTATAGCTAAGAAGGTAAAGTTGATAGAAAGCCCTTTGACACGGTAATAATGATATTATTACCGTGCCTTTGACGTCAAAATATTATGTAACAAACAGTTACTGCTATCTCATTCGCTCTGTAGGCTCGCACAGACTTTTTAAATGCATGCTAAAGAGAGACGCAATATTGTACAATGGAAAGTTCAGGAACGGAAAATCAATAACCTGTTGAATGCGCCGGAATCGTGGGATGAGTAGGGAGGTAGCTGGAGGGAGGGCGAACGGGCGAACACTTCGGAACACATCACTCGCAAATATTTTAGCAGTACAAATTATAGTTTTTTTTTTACAAATATATATATATATATATATATATACAAGCTGACCCAGCGAACTTCGTACCGCCCTAAAAAATAGGGGTTGTCCAGCGGACAAAATTGTGAATCTAAACCATTCTCAGATCCCCTTGAACACACACAAAAAATTTCATCAAAATCGGTCCAGTCGTTTAAGAGAAGTTCAGTGACATACACACTCACAGAAGAATTATATATATAAAGATATATCTATATGTAAAGGTTAACAATGACTATCCTAAGTTTTTGTGCTCGACTGGGCATAAAAGAATCGCAAGCTGTCATTTTTATTGCGCTTATAGTTTAACAAAAATAATAACTACAAATATTCGTTATATAACTGCCGTCCTCAAACTAAAGCGAGGCTAAATGACATGTGGTCGATTTTTCAGCCCTAATTTACATCTTATATAGTTTTTAATACTCTATCGATCTGTCTTTAACAAGTACATATTTGTATCGTTTATTAGCTATAAAAAAATAAAGTCTAAAAATCCGTCAGGTGTTGAATGGTTACAAAACAGCAATAATTTTAAGTTTACGAGCTGTTTTTTGGCCATGTCTCAAAAGTTGGATGTGTCATTTAGCCGCGTTTTAGCTTGAGGACGGCAGATATAGTGTATGGGAAAAAATAATCTCATAGCGTGGGTTGTTTTGGGTTATATTCTAGCTGGATCTTTATCCAGTGCTTCGTAACATTGTAATGATGCTTGTTATAGAAGCTGAGACGATGATGATGATAAGGGTGCCACTTCACTCGATATTCGGTCAAACCCACAGAACACAGAAAGAGGTCAAACCCCATTAACGCCTGAGCAAATATTAAAGGCAAAGACTCACCTGCGTCTCATTGCTAATGTAGTCGGGGTGGACATCCAAGAAATCTTGGGGCAGCACCAGTGTCGTGTGCCCCTCAAGCATCTTCCTCAGCCGCGGGAAGTAGCCACTTGACAACGGCACCGAGTCCTGGTTGTTAAACACCACGATCGCTGACTGCTCCCCATATATCCGCATCAAGTCATCTTGTTCAAGGAACTTCAACGCCGGCCTCTTGTATTTCTCGAGAGACTTAGGGCCGAAGAATAGGAATGGACCTTCTAAATTCGCTTGAACGTTGATGAAATAAGTGATGAGAAGCGGTATTCTGTAATGTATTTGAAGCGCGGCCATCTCTTTGGCAAGGCAGAGTTGGATTGCGGTCAGGAGTTTAAGCTTGGTTGTATCGACCGGCTGTCGCGCATGCGTACTGCTGTTCGAGAACCTCTAGCCTGCGAAGTATTTAGGCTAGTAACTGAATCTTATTTATATCGTCCTTCACCCACAGCTGCTTGTGTGATCGAAGGGTTACGTATTAATTAGGTATCTATTGAACAGCAAAAATTTTATTATAAACTAGTGGCCCGCCCTCGCTTCGCTTCGGTGTAGAGCTGTAGTGTAAACTATAGTTTTTGTTCTCAGGCTTGTATTATAAGCAATAACTTTATTTATATAATTACACGTGTTATTGTGAGCCAACCATAAAAGATAGACATATGCTGTTGCAGGATATTTTTTTGACAATTTTATGTAGAATATTTCCGTCATACATGATTTCTATGTAACTTTAACCATTAAAGCTGCACACGCGACGGAAGCTTAAAAAATGGAGTAACTTCTCCCGTTTTTCCAATATTTCCCTTCACTACTCTGCTCCTATTGATTGTAGCGTGATGAAAAGTATACTATAACCTGCCCAGGGGTATGAAGAATAATTGTACCAAGTTTCGTTAAAATCTGTCGAGTAGTTTTTGTTTCTATAAGGAACATACACACAGACAGACAGACAGACAGACAGACAGACAGACAAAAATTTTACTGATTGCATTTTTGCCATCAGTATCGATCACTAATCACCCCCTGATAGTTATTTTGAAAATATATTTCATGTACAGAATTGACCTCTCTACAGATTTATTATAAGTATAGACTTGCAACGAATATTCGGTTACTATTCGGTATTCGGCTGCTTTTATTATATTCGGGCGAATACCGAATATCTACAAATTATTCGGCCGAATACCGAATACCTAATTAATATATTTTGTCATAGAGAAATAATTGGTAAAATGAAAAATTAAAATCGATTGATTACGTATAGGTAAATACATATTTTCATTTCTGTTATATAATCATGGTACATAACACAGGAACATAATCATCTTCTGAATTGGAAAAATGGAGGATTCTATACATGTATTTGAATTATTGTGGTAATCAAAATTTAGAAGGGTAAGGTTCTCATTTCTTTTATTAAGTAGTCATTGGTACATAAAACAGGTACATAATTTAATCATTTTCTGTATTAAACAAGTTAACAGTTTTTAATTCATTCATTTTAAGTCATGTGATGAATGGTTACATAATAGCAATAATTTAAAACTTAGGCGCCGTTTTTAGCCATATCTCAAAAGTTGGTTTTGTCATTTAGCCGCATTTTAGCTTGAGGACGGCAGATTAGAACAAAACAAAGGAGCGCGAAACAATCCCGTCTGTACAAGTTTTTGGCGCTAAAATCCAGCCGAATACTTTTGCCTAATATTCGGCTATTCGGTCAGGGGCCTCGCCGAATATTCGGTATACTGCCGAATATACTATTCGTTGCAAGTCTATTATAAATAAATAAATAAAATTAATTTATTTTGAGCAACATAACTCATAATCATTACTATAGAAATAGGTACATGACACTAAAAATATAACTAATCATTTATTCAATTTAAAATTCATTAACAGTAGTTATTTAATAGACTTGACAACCTCCGTGGCCGAGTGGTTAGTACGCCGGGTTTAATGGTGTCGCCGACTCGAGAGGTGCCGGGTTCAAATCCCGGTGGGGGCAGATGTTTGTGTGATGAATACGAGCATTTGTACTCCAGTCACGGATGTTTAATATGTATTTCTATAAAAAAAAAGTATATGTATTCTATCCGTTACCCTAGCATCCCATAACACAAGCCTTATAGTGCTTACTTTGGGGCTAGGCTAATTGGTGTGAGTGTTGGAAATATTTACATATTTGTTATTATTATTTTATAATCTAAGTCTGTAAAGGTTTTGCCTGCGTAATAAAAAAGAGCAAAACCCAAGATGCCTACATAACTTCCTTGGCAGAACCACAGACAAATAAACTCGCACAGTAGACATTTTTGTATGTAAATAATTGCTAGTGCTGGCTTCCTTGTCTATGGTCGTTGCTCAAGAAGTTTGCCGGGATGCATAGTTACTCTTAATCTTGTTATTATTATGATATAGCTCTTCCACGAAATGTATTTCCCAAATTACCTATACCTACTTATTTTCGAATCGTATCGTTTCGTCTGGCATGACATTTACAACAGAGTAACTTCTTTTACAAAGTTAGAAAATGGCATAGCTACGACGTAGCGTTGATTTTACTGATTCGACTTGAATAATGTTCTTTGTGTTGGATAATGCATACATCGGTGAAGGCTGTAGCTATATATATAAAACTCAAAGGTGACTGACTGACATAGTGATCTATCAACGCACAGCCCAAACCATTGGATGGATCGGGCTGAAATTTGGCATGCAGGTAGATGTTATGACGTAGGCATCCGCTAAGAAAGGATTTTGATCAATTCTACCCCCAAGGGGATAAAATACCGAAGCGAAGCGAGGCGGGCCACTTGTAATCTATTTACACAAAGCTACGACTGATAGAAGCAAAACACCAATGAAAAGTATTGCTAAAACGGAAAAAAATATCCCATCTGTGATTGTTGTTGTTGTGCGCTGCTATAAACTGGAAACGTTACCCAAAAAGAATATGATGTATTTATAAATAAATATTTAAAAGTTTTTTAAAAAAATCCGCGACAGCATAAGCTAGAACCTTTTTATAATTTTTATTATTTTTAAAGCATGTATACTACTGCTTGATGTTTAAATCTAAAGAAAATATAACTAGGAAAAATTCTACGCGGACCAGGCAGCAGACGGGACTCGAACCCGCACCCTTCGCAATCCGGGCGAATGCATTCTTCTCTCTTCGCATTATAGGTAACCCACAATGTCAAATTTATACTTTTACAAGTATTAAACATTTGAAAGAAGAAATAGCAATTAAAGTTATAATTAGTTAGTGCATTCGCCCGTATTGCGAAGGGTGCGGGTTCGAGTCCCGTCTGCTGCCTGGTCCGCGTGGAATTTTTTCTAGTTATATTTTCTTTAAAACCTTTTTCCTTAAGTTAGGTACCGCCTCTATTTTCAATCAAAGACCTCAATAATCATGCAAAATATTGATTTGTGGCATTTGTGGTCAGTTTGTGGTGCCTAAGTGAAAAGAAAACACAATTTACTGTAACAAAAGAATTTATTTACAATCTTACTCATTAATTTCTTATATACATAAAAGTATGTAGGAAATAAATATTTTATTCACAAGGAATGTTTAGTTTACAAAATGTCAAAAGAAGAAGTAGGAAAGCAGAATATAATAAAAACATTATATACAAAACTTATTAACAATACTCAGTCAATTTTGAGAAAATTAAGCTACAAGTTAACGATATCTTTAGACAGGCGCTGAGCTTAATCAAATGCAATTCTTATAAAAAAAATGGAAACAATGGATCTTAAATAGTCTAAAGTTAACAAATTTGTGTTGAATATTTTTCACTATTGTGAGTAATGTAGGTACCTATGCTTTATATATTCTTATAAAAAGATTTACCATCAAAATTAATGACGTTGTAGTCATAACAGCGCCTGTAACGTACCTCAGGAATCGTCCCATGGTTTTGACTATCATAGGTTCCATTTCACACATTTTATCATCTAACATCATCGATATTCATCAGGCATCAACATATATTTTATTAGGTATTTCTGGAAACACACAATTTCAAAAATATCACACACTATTCATCATTTTGTAAATACGTATTATGATTCCATCTGTACTGAAAATCACTATTCCAGAGTGCTGGCCCACACTTACCGGCATTTCTCCTTATTCTGTTATTTATTTGTTTTCATTAATTTTGCTCCGATTTTATCCATTTTTAGTTTATTTATTTTATTAACATTTTTGACAACTTAATGTTTTTTATCCGTTGCCATGGCTACCCATGACACGGATACTCTCTCCAACTACGTCTATGACTATTCAACCTCCACAGACCACCTACTTTGATTCCTTTTTGTTCGATTCGAACCGTGTCTGAATTTAAATGGTTCCGGACATATGATAGTTGAAACCATGGGACGATCCCTGAGGTACGTTGCACGCCTTAGGCCGTATACAGAAAGAAAGCCGAAAGCCGATCGGCGCTTATCGGCGCCGATCCTTTCTACATAAAGGAAGCCGATTAAAGCAGATCAAGCAAAATGTCGGACTCATCGGACGATGATTTGGTTTTGTTAGAAAATATTTATTTAAAAATGCGAAAAACAGCTATACATCCTATAAATAGAGAAAGGAAACGTTTCGGAGAATACCATCATTTATTTGTAAAAAAAATTAAATTTGATGAACAAAGATTTTATACATATACAAGAATGATTCAAGAAACATTTTATTACATTTTGGATTTAGTGAAAAACCGTTTGATGAAAAATTGGGGCAATTGGCATAAACAACCAATCCTTCCAGAAGAAAGACTTGTTGTCACCATTCGGTAAGTACGAAACAAATAATTTTAGCGCTTAGTTAATAAAAGATAAAGTTATTAGATTTATAAAGAGATTATCACTTAGATTGATTTAATCTAAGGATAATAATTCAAATACAAATTATTTATTATTCGGACCAGCGCGTGTCGGCGCTTATCGGCGCTTATCGGCGCCGATCGGCTTTCGGCTTTCTTTCTGTATACGGACTTTATGTCGACTATAACGACCATGAATATCCGATTAACGCAGCCACATTCTTTGCTGTAGCTACAAATTGAAGTCTCTGGTCGCCGCGTATTAAATACATACTATAAGATACAGTATTATTTCACACTATGATTAGAGTCGCGATGAGTGCAAGAGCCAGAAGCAGCCGCGCCGAGGACGCCGACGGTACACCGGACGAGAAGAAGAAAGAGCTCTCTGCAAAGAAGCATAAAATAAATGAATACATTACGCAGCATGTTCCTGCCGCAATCCTGAAGGAAACCTGAACGGAGCGAAATTAAATGAAAAGTCATTTATTCAGTCTAGGCTGTTACAAGCACTTGTAAAGGTCAAGAAGCTACGCCATCGGTTCGCAAAACTGCGGCGGGAGACCTTGTACTGAGAAGAACCGGCAAGAAACTCAGCAAGGGCTGTTTTTTTCTCCCTGTATTGTTATATACAGAGTCGTCAAATTGAAAAATGACTTCAGAGATACGTCTGAAGTCACCTTCCATTACATCATTTAGAATATAAAGTTGTGAGTGAAAGTTCTTCTAGCAAACATTTCCTTTAGATTTAGAATTCTTGCAGAGCTAACTAGGTACTCTGGTCTGCTACCCAAGTGAAAGGTCAAAATGCAGGTATAATATTTTGACATTGACCTCCTTATTAACAAAACGAGGAATAAGGTTAGACTAGATACGCCCGTGTTGTGTTCATATCACTCAAATTCCATTAGTCATTGAATGAGCAAAGATAATACAGACGAGTGTTTTTGAAATGAAGCAACGTGGTTATTTCAGACATATATTGGCTTCAGTCGAGTGAAGCGAGACCAATCATTCATCTATGATTTCAGATATATTTTCCGATTTAAATGAATAGAATCAAACAGATTTAAATGAATAGAGATCTTGGACTGTGACCAATCGTCACACCCCAACCCATCATCTCTTATCTATTAGACAAGTCCGTCCGTCCGTCTGTCTGTGGTGCTGTTTCAGCGGCCAAACCGTAAGAGATAGATAAAGAGAATATTTAAGTTATAAGTTAAGAATAGTCTGATAAGACTACAAACCGGATTTGAGTAACGTAGCACTTCCGGTTTTCGAGAAATCACGAATTTCAAACGAAACCACACAAAATCTCCGAAGTTCTCAATTAATTAAATACATTTTTTTTTATCAGGTTTTGGTGAACATTTGGTTCACTGGTTTGCTAGTATCATAATAAGTTACCACGCTTGATAACAGAGCTTAGTTTGCCTATATTTAAAAGGAAGCATAAAATGTGGCTAATAACGAAATGTTTTTACTCAATTAGAGAATATTATAAACGAAAATTGACTTAGAATAAAATGAGTAAAATGACATAAGTACCTTTAAATTTTAGAATTAAATTAGGTTTGACATTCACATGCCCTGTATGTCGTTGGCAAAATGGACGAACTAAATGAAAATCACCACCAAAATGTATCCACTCTGTTTTGTGTGAATAAATAAATTTCATTTCATTTCATCCCACAAAAAATATTGTTTGGGCATAGATGTGGAGTCTTCTTCAATAAAAACTCGGTGTTTTTAGTATTTTCTCTTTATGTAATAATAATGGATACAATTTACAAGTAACAGTTTTCTTGAGAGAATGAATTTCGCAAGTCATGACATAGCAGTCGGTAAAACAGCCGAGCACACGAACACGAGCGACATCTGCCATCTGCGGGCGACATCCAATGACGTTTTTGCTAGGCGCGCTACAGCGGTACGATCCAATAGATGGCGCCACCCGTTATATAAGCGCGATTCTTTGCTATGATTTGTCATCATCATCATCATCAGCCTATTAATGTCCCCACTGCTGGCACAGGCCTTCCCTATGGATGGAATTGGGAGATTGGGCCATGACCCACCACGCGGGCCCAATGCAGATAGGTGGGTGCTAACGACTGCAGACGCAGCCGGGACCAACGGCTTAACGTGCCTTCCGAAGCACGGAGGAGCTCGAGATATTAATTTTTGGTCACCCATCCAATGACCGACCACTGCGAAAGTCGCTTACGTTCAACGATCGCAGCCGAACGCGCTAACCACTTGCGCCATCGAGCTCCTCTATCCTATGATTTGTAATATTCCTTTTATTTTTTAAGTATATGTCGGAGTGGGCGAGCGGGATATAGGCGATTGGCCACGTGGTTTTTCTTGATCCGCCATCTTGGGTATTCGATGTTATTTTCCGAAAATGAAACTGTAGTCTAATAACTTAGCTAATGTTTAATTTAAATCTTTAAATCACTTTACAAAATATGATAAGATTACAAGGATACAAATGGATTACTTTGTTCACTATCGCGGCTCACGTCTGAATGCCGAATGCCGAATGCCCCTTCCAATGACGCATAGCCCCTTAAATACTACCCTTAGCATAGACCACTTCCAAGTGATGACAGCTGTCACTGTCATTACTTGACGTTTCACAAGGCAATGGTACTCTTGACTGATGACATTTGTTGTCGGTTTAACGTTTCGAAGGAGCGAGTGAGACGCCATCCGTCGACATATATATATGTATGGCGCGAACAAATGTATTTAAAAAAATATATAAGTAATATGAAATTTAAGTAGCTTATCTCATACTTTTCTTCTCGTTGGGGTCTGTGACGCCGCACTGTCGGTACGATATAGTCCGCTTCCTCTTGGTGTTCACGAATCCCGGGATGAAGATGCTGGGCGAGTCCAGGCGACCCGATGCCAGCAGCCTGTGGAACCAGAAAGAATCTACTAATATAAGTGTAAGCAGATTTTTGAAGCTGGACTCTCTTATAAATAAGTTTGGTCCTAAATGGATTTTCAACAAGTTAAAATACCTAGTTATATTGCCACACTATAATGCCATTCAACTAAGAATAGGACCGACTGGGCGCCATATTCTGATGTTATAGCTGTCAATTCAAACCAAATAGGTAGAATGAGCAAAAAAAGTTTTTATTTAATACTTATTTACTAAGATTAAGTGAGAAAAAGCATTAGATTTTTTTAATAAAATTAAATAATCATATTGAGGAAAAACAACCCACCCATTTTTAATAATATTCATTTATTAAGACTGTGAGAACATCATTAATCAGAATTTAGCTCTTCTATTCCGCTCATCTCTGCATTACCGCCGAAGTAGTTATGAATAATCATGCACTATTACTAGGTCACATACGAACATGCATCCTTTTATGTAACGAAAACGAAAGTTTAAAATCGAGTTTCTGAACGCAACTTAAAGTGACATTTGGTGGACGATTTAGGTTATCAACCATACATGGCCAAAGCTCAATAAGTGAAAAAAATATATATAAATCGATATTAATTATCAATATTTGTTATTGTTTGTTTACAAATGTTTGGTTTTTATCCTTGAATTAGCGTAGTGCTAAAAAAGGGTTCCAAGTTTTTTTTGCAAACCGTACTTTTCATGCGACATTTGACAGATAGAGGTCCATTGGCTTTTCTATTCTTATTTGAATTGCATTATAGACGTGCGATGGGTCACCCTTAAGAGACAGAAATTTGCTGCCGCTGACTTTTTAATAGAACAACGAGTTCCTCCATGCTTTGGGAGGCACGTCAAGCCGTTGGTCCCGCCTGCATTTGCAGTCACACCCACCAATCCGCACTGGGGCCTCGTGGTGAGACGTGGCGTAGCCCAATCAAAATAAAAAATCTCTATTCAGCTTAGCCTGTTAGCTGTAGTGTGCAAGCACTCATGAATGTCTAGAAACTACGCCATCGGTTCGTAAATCTACGGCGGGAGACCTTGTACTGAGAAGAACCGGCAAGAAACTCAGAAAGGGTATCAATATATTATTATCCAATTTGACGACCTCCGTGGCAGGTTTGTACGCTGGGTTTGAAGGTGTCGCCTATTCAAGGTCCCGTGTTCGAATCCCGGTGGGGGCAGATGTTTGTGTGATGAATACGAGTATTTGTACTCCAGTCATGGATGTTTAATATGTATTTCTATATCAATATTCTCATTTATGAGCATTTGTGTTCTATCCGTTACCCTAGTATCTCATAATACAAGCCTACAGTGCTTTGGGTCTATGCTAATTGGTGGAGGTATTGGGAATATATTTTTTTTATTCATCTCCCTTTCCATTCAAGAGGAAGGCCGCAGCATGGGGATATTAATGTAAAGAAAGAAAGAAAGAAAGAAATTAATTTTATTTGCCTATAACATTGTTAACCTAAATAAAAACAATAAAAATTTTTTTGCCCAACTAGGTCCCTGCCTCAGCTTGATACTACAGCAACACCAGGGCTGCTGCAGCGCTGATGATTCTGGCAGGGCCTAAGGTTGATGACACAGACTATTATTATACAACTATACCAATGTACACTTAAAAAAAAAGATAATAACTACGTAGGCTGAATGTTTTTACCATCCTTAGCCTTACAGAAAAAGGACAAAAAATTTAAAGAAAAAAAGAATGATTTATCTGGGAGGACAGACTACAGATTGAGTCTGACTTTTTGGCGGGATCGGGAAGCGTCACTTTAGCAGTTTTGTTGAAAGGGTTATTGACTTGACTGCCACTTACTTTGACTTGACTAATATTTTGACCACGAGTGCTATAAAATATGTAAACATTTTACACTTGACATTGGCTAAATGAACAAACCGTGCGAAGCCATATAGAAAAAAAAAGAAAGAAAAAAAGACTACAGACTGGAACATAAAAAACAAAAGAAAAAAATTAATTTATAAAACTAACAATTAAATGAATTGCAAACTTATTAATAGTAATTCTACTGCCATCAATGGACTGATGATGATATGTGTATGTAGAGGGTGTTTTGTAGTAGTAGAGCTTAGATTAAAACAAAAAGGGTAGATACGGCACTAGCCTCACAAAAGTGATCCGCATGAATTGTGGTCCACGACCCTAATCGCTTTAGTTACATCTTGACCATAGAGTACATTATATACTAGTAAACGATGTACATGTGAACGCCAAAAAGAAATATTGCTAATATTTTGTGTTTATATGATAAAACAATGCCTAAGTGTGTTTTTAAAAAATGCTGAAATTGCTCAAGAACTAAAAATAAAACCCACGGCATCGCTTTTCATTCGTAAGTACTATAAAATATATTTTTTGCATAAAAATTGCTGTTTGTTTTGAATCTTATTCGGTAGTGACGTCGAGTGCTGGTCGCGTGATTGGTCGGTAGTGCAGTGACGCGGATCGCGCCGTCTCGTTCGCGCTGCCGTTGAAACTTAACGTGCTGTTTCGTTCGGGTCGGTAATGCAGTGACGCGGATCTCGCCGTCTCGTTCGCGCTGCCGTTGAAACTTAACGTGCTGTTTCGTTCGGGTCGGTAATGCAGTGACGTGGATCTCGCCGTCCCGTTCGCGCTGCCGCGGGATCAATTTTTGTTTGATGCAAGTATGAGCGTACCGTATCTACCCTTTTTGTTTTAATCTAAGTAGTAGGAGTGGGGACCTGGTGAAGTCCAGTTCCAAGCGATGAGCGTTAGGGCCAGTGAAGTGCAGCAGCAGCTGCATGCAGCCGCCGGCGTGCAGCGTTCGCGTGCGCCGCGACTCCACGCGCACCATCCACGCGGGCGCGCCCAGAACCTCGCGTACCGAGTCCAGGAACTGACCGCTGTTAACATAAAAAAAAAACAAAATTCAATATCGTTTATTCAGTCTAGGCTATTACAAGCACTTGTGAAGGTCAAGAAGCTACGCCATCGGTCTTCAAAACTATGGCGGGAGACATTTGCTTTTAATTGCTTCGTAAATAAGCTATTATTTCTCGTAAAATGTATAAGATAAAAAATGGTTAGTGTGGGTTATCCCTAAGAGATAGACATATACCATCGCGAACTTTTTTGTAGTCCTTTTTAAGGTGTACAATACTGTAGTACTTTATTTTGATCTATCTCGTAGGGTTCAGCCAGCGTTTGCAATGTAAGCGCAAAAAATGTGTTTATTTACGACCTTACATTATAAACCTCTAAAATTATCAGTGTTTCCCTACTATATTATACATGTATTATACATATAAACCTTCCTCTTGAATCACTCTATCTATTAAAAAAAACCGCATCAAAATCCGTTGCGTAGTTTCAAAGATTTAAGCATACAAAAGGACATAGGGACAGAGAAAGCGACTTTGTTTTATACTATGTAGTGACTAGACTTCCCCCGATGGCAAAGAAAAAATATTTCAGCCGATGAAGTAAACAGTTCAATCGTTAATTAAGCTTCGGGCAATGTGTTGGTGCATAGCACTCACAGCACAAATCTCGGCGGCTTCATAATGTTGACGGCTTTGACGATGTCATAGTCGGGCTCAATGTTGGCGCAGGCGAAGCGCTCGCTGCTCCGCTCCGGCCCAAAGATCACGATGGAACGCCCCATGGCCGTCACCGTGCCTTCCAGCGGGAAGTTCGAGTCCATGAATATCTGACGGTCGCCGCCTATACCTGGGAATGAAAAGAGATTTCAATGAAAAAGAAAAAATTACCGCCCTTTTAATATATTTGCCGAAGAACCGATAACCGAGTAGACGAGTTTTGGAGTGGAGACCGCGTCTAGGCAGACGTAATGTAGGACGTGTTCAGGCATGATGGAGTGACGATTTGCGCAAGGTGGCTGGCAGGAGCTGGATGCGAGTAGCCCAAGATCGATCTGGCGTGCATTTGGAGAGGCCTATGTCCAGCAGTTGACTGAGATAGGCTGTTGATGACCGCCCTTTTAAATAGAAATATAAGAGTGCGTGCGATTCAAATTGAATAGCGGCCGTGAAGTTATCGCGAAATCGCGTCGCAGTAAACGAAATGTCGGATGATGTAGTAGTCGTTATCATTATTCTGGGGAGGCAGTTGTTAGAATAAAATGAAAATGAAAATGGTTTTTATTTCCCAATGAGTCAGTTTACAGTTCAAGTTGAGACAACCCAGAAAGTAATAATTAATACCTGTGTTGGGATGCGTCGTTCTTAGCCTAGTGCAGTTAACAAATTCTGGGCACATAACCACTAATTTGTTAAAGTATCAGGTGTATTTGTATAAGTGTGTGTGTGTGTGTATGAATGTCTGTGTGTGTGTGTGTGTGTGTATGAATGTCTGTGTGTGTGTGTCTGTGTGAGATAGAGAGTAAGTGCGTGAATATGTGTACAGTTGTATATACCTATATTTCATTTCCAGTACGACCATTATGTTATTCTTTTTAAAATTAATTCCGTGTCTTCATAGTTAAGTGTTTTCATACAATTAACTAGAGTTGTTTTACATTTATATAACAACATAGGATACATGTAGTATAGGACTATTCAAACAAATTTCCAAATATAAATATTTGAATTAGGGGTAACGGCTGGTTTCATAGTACATAATGCATTCATATTAATCTGTGGTATATTGCAAACACAGGAACTGAAATAAATGTAAGATTCTGATAGGTATTAATTAGTTACATACTGATGGGTCCCAGCCTAGCTGTGATGTCTCCGACGTCACAGCGTAGTGGGTTGTCCGCACCACACTCCTGGTTGTACAAGTCATGCTGGAAGTAAAAATATAACATCCCTGTAGTCCTATCCTGATAATGAAATAATGTAAAATGGCCTAGAAGGCTCCTCACGAAAAAATAAATAATATGATCTAGATATTTTTAAGTTTCCTAGTATGTACAAGAGGGTGTTTCATTTTGGTAGGCAAAAAAATAATTAAATTTTTTTGCCGACTTCAACATATATTTTGGTACTAGCGGCCCGCCCTCGCTTCGCTTCGGTGTAGAGCTGAAGTGTAGACTACAATTTTTGTTCTCAGGCTTGTATTATACACAATAACATTCATCTATGATTCTTCTTATACCTGCATGCATAGTCTCAGCCCGATCGGTTTAAAATTGACAAAGTTTCACATAAACTTTCATTCCCTATTTTATCCCCTTGGGGGTAGAATTGATCAAAATCCTTTCTTAGCGGCGACGGAGGCATCGTCATAACATCTACCTGCATGCCAAATTTCAGCCCGATCCGTCCAGTGGTTTGGGCTGTGCGTTGATAGATCACTATGTCAGTCACCTTTGAGTTTTATATTTATATATATTTTAGTATGGTATGACGTATTTCACTACTGCGAGAAAAAAGTAGCCAACATGGCCTTTAAATATTCTTCAATGTTCATGAAATTTGGCATATATGTCTTTTGTACTAGTGAGAATCCATGGACAATATGGAAAATATATATAAATATAAAACTCAAAGGTGACTGACTGTCATAGTGATCTATCAACGCGCAGCTCAAACCACTGGAAGGATCCGGCTGAAATTTGGCATGCAGGTAGATGTTATGACGTAGGCATCCGCTAAGAAAGGATTTTGATCAATTCTACCCCGAAGCGAAGCGAGGGCGGGCCACTAGTATTAAATAAATCATAATTGTATTGACGTTGTAACAACATAATGATTTGTAAATGTTGTTACATTAGACTTTTAATGTTGTGGAGTTTTTTTCGCTAGTTTTTCTCCGCAGCTAAAAAATATGTCCAATAACAAAAGAGTTATACTATACATCCAATTTGAATAAAGATATAGTGAAACCTGGTTAATTGGGATCTCAAGGGACCAAGACATACCTACCTATTATTACCTATTATTGAGGGTATCCAATAATCCAGCTTTCCAATTAAGCAGGTTTAAAATTATAGTTGTCTCATTTACAGAGGCCCCCGCTTACAGAGGTCGAAATGTGCCATTATTCCCTTGTTTTAGGTCAAAACCTGAGATAGTACAGACAAACAAAGCATGCGCGAAAGACGACGCGAAATGTATGTAAACAAACATGTCAAAACGTGTTACAACCTGATTAATTAGTCTCACTTAAACAGGTAAATGAGCTACAGAGTCTCAATTATAGAGGTAAACATCGAAAGAGTCTTAAAATTCAAATCTCATTTAACCAGGTTCAAAAACTCCCATTAACAGAGGTAATTTAATGAAAAAGAACCGGGACCTCATTGCAACTCTCAATAATAGAGGTTTCTCACTTATCCAGGTCCCACTTAATCAGGTTTCACTGTATATTGATTTCTGATTTCAGATAGGCTTGTTGAAAATATATCGATGTATCGATATATCGATATTTTTTGGTCGATATATCTATATTTTTTGCCGATATATTTTGATTCGATATATCGATACATCGATACAAAATAACCAATATCGAAATTCGTATCAAAAACGATATTTTTTTAATTATTAGCGGCATATCACGATCTAACTAAATTCGTCTCTGGAAAAATTGTAACTGGATCTCAGATTAATGATATTCAACATATCTATGATCTGTGCTGTATTAGTATTGTCTATGTCATCATTCGAAAATAGGGTCTAATAAATTTTTAGGGAGATAATTTTCGTTCCATTATTATTCCGCGTGTCATATTTCGTGAGCTACTGTACGATATTTTTGGGAAAATTGGTCCGATATATCGATATATCGATGTTTTTTTCGCGATATATCGAAGCCGATATTGATATTTTTTAAAAGATCGATGTATCGATATATCGATATTTTTTTCAACTTTCGACATCCCTAATTTCTGACACATACATTGAGCGGGTCTGCCAGCTGCGTGAAGTATGGATTCCAGCGGTAGCCGCCGGCGACGCAGCGCGTGTTGGTGACCTGCACCGCCGCGTCCACGCCCACTGGGTTCACGAAGATATTCCAGTTGTGGTTGTGCGTCTGGAAGGAGACCAGAACCACGGTAATATTATCTATACAGTATTGTGACCCCGCCCTGTCCTTGAAATAAATGCCTACGGCCGAGCGCTGCGTTAGCACGCGGTAGGGCCGCCCGCCTACAGCATTTTAATTTCATCTACATAATTGAGTTTCTTTCTAGTTTTGTGATTGTAAATATTTTATTTTACATGGAAAGATTCTCCGCAAGCCCATATACCCATATCGTAGGAATGCATTAAAAATAACTAACGGCTAACTGCATAAAAAACAATTCAGACCGTTCGGTCGTCGTTGCGGCGCGGCGGCGCATTCGCGACTGGGTGCCCGCCGAGAGCCCCTCGAACTCGAGTGGCGTAGGTATGACTTGCTTTCTGACCGTTTGTATGAAGATAGAATACTGTATAGATATTATTACCGTGCCAGAACTGTCACAAACACTATCCCTTATACCGGCCATACACACTACGAGAAATCGTTACGATCAGACTGTACAGTTCGAACGGAACAGTTTATACGATATCGTTTAGTATTAGAAACTGTGCAGTTTTATAACATACACGCTACGATTTATCGGTACCGTTCAGACTGTACAGTGTAATCGTAACGATTTCTCGTAGTGTGCATGGCCGGTATTAGGTGACAGATTTATATTAAGTTCAGGTTGGTTGACAATAGGCTAGTTGACCCTTTTTGGAAAAAGGTTTTAAATTTTTAATAAGTGTTCTATTACACCGAAAAAAATGTTACCAATGTATTTTTTTGAAACCTAGAAAGCTACAAATCTTTAATTTTAAATTGACTTTTCATGGACATACAAAAACGCTGTCGGCCATTTTAGTCTATAGATTATCTATGTTATGACGTCAACCGGTAGTAAACAAAAACTCGAAAGCATGTAGAAAATAACCTATCTGTGTTTATTATAAAACAAAACATGATTTCTTTTATTAAATACCACGAAAGATATAGTAATTATCATTATCGTACTGTACAAGAATGTAAAAACGGAAAGTTGTGGATTAAAGTGCCGAAAGAAAGTACCGATGGTTAGAACTTGCTAAAAGGGATCCTACAACTTTATCGACTCATAGTAAAATTTATTTTTGCGAAGAACACTTTGATGTAAGTACTCAATGAATAATATTTTAAGTCTCTTCATTTATTATCTTTCTTTTACTTCAGTAACACGCGAATGACATTTAGTTACAATCACTGTTCACCTAGAAGGCTCTAACGAGCCATCTATAGAGGGCACCACCACACGGGCCCAGTGCGGATTGGTGGGTGCTAACGACTGCAGATGCAGCCGGGACCAACGGCTTAACTTGCCTTCAGAAGCACGGAGGAGCTCGAGATAGTAATTTTTGGTCACCCATCCAATGACCCACCACTGCGAAAGTTGCTTAAGTTCAACGATCGCAGCCGAACGCGCTAACCACTTGCGCCAATGAGCTCCTCTATACTTATTATCTACTATATAAAAATAAGTCGGGTTTTCCTTCCTGACGCTATAACTCCAGAATGCACGAACCGATTTCCACGGTTTTGCATTCGTTGGAAAGGTCTCGGGCTCCGTGAGGTTTATAGCAAAGAAAATTCAGGAAAAATCGCAAAAAAAAATCTTCTTTTAATCACCAAACGAAATGTTACATAAAACGAAGCCATCTGATGGCGAAACGGAGTTCGCCTGGTTTGCTAGTTAAAAATAAAATGATGTCTTCTTTCAGTAAAATATCCTATATTCAATATATAATATACTTTCTGTCCGTGTGACAATGCAGTGGGACGCCCTGTATACTTAGATTAAAACAAAAAGGGTAGATACGGCACTAGCCTCACAAAAGTGATCCGCATAAATTGTGGTCCACGACCTTAATCGCTTTAGTCACAACTTGACATGCAAACGACGTACATGTGAACGCCAAAAAGAAATATTGCTAATATTTTGTGTTTATATGATAAAACAATGCCTAAGTGTGTTTTTAAAAAGTGCTCAAATTGCTCAAGACCTAAAAATAAAACCCACGGCACTTTTCATTCGTAAGTACTATAATAGTTATTTATTATACAAGAGTGGAAAGTTCCTTTTTAACCGCGTGCTCGATTTGGATGACCGAGCAAGCGAAGGATTCTAAAGTTGAATCACGAGCGCAGCGAGTGATTCTAAATTAGAATCCTGAGCGTCAGCGAGGGAAACAAACGAGCACAAGGTGAAAAATCTTTCCACTCGAGTGCAATACGTAACTTTTCATCCCACCTCAGCGAGGAAATGACAAAATGAAAAAGAAAACAATTTATAATGACAAAATATTTTTATTTCAATTAAAACACATTAAGATAATCTATAAATTGAAGAAAATAATAAGAAGTAGAAAATAATTAAGAAATATTAAATGTAACGTTGCTACAGTTACTTATGTTAAGTTTAATATTTTTGTTAGGTAATGTTATGTTGGTGTTTGTGAATTGTGCGCTGTTTTGTGGTAAACTACTCGTATCAGTAATTTTAAATAGTTGTGCCGATTCATTGGATTCTATTGGCGTAAATGTTGGCGAGAGAGGGCTATTGTTTCCAATCTTATGGGGGCTCATTTTAGATGTAGAAGGGCGAGACCAAGAATCTGACAGAGGTTCTTTCAGCGTTATGGCCTCCACGATACTATTACAAATTTTTGATTTACTTTGGATTGAATCCTCTATGTATCCCTCTACAACCGAATTAGACTTCCAGCCTCCATGGCGCTTAAGCGATAGAAGATCAGCCCCTGATTCGGCCAAAAGTGTGGCTGAGGTTCTTCTAAAACAGTGACCGGTGTATAACGGGGGTTCTAAAAGTCCGAGAAAAGTTGCTATTTCTCGTGGAATACTGCCAATTTTATTCTGACCCATAGGTTGTCGGATACACTTTCCGTTGCGATATTGTAGAAAAAATCGTTCAATTGGGGTGTTAGAAGGACGTAAAGCTTGATATTTCTGAACAATGTTTACATATTCCTTGCGAATAACGAAGTTGCGGTCTTTTTTTGTCTTGGTATTTAGTACATTAATTAATAGCAATTCATCAGAATTATGAGAATATTTTGATACGTTATTGACATTAAGTAGTGTAAGTTCATTTGTTCGACATGCTCCGGTTATACCAATAATAAGAACAACCTGTAACAAAAGAAGTATTTATAATCGTAAATAAATTAATCAAATTAAAAATATTGTAAGTACTATGTACAATTTTATCAACAACAAAAAATTACACGTATTGACTTACTTTTGCCGCTAAATATACGGAATCAGGTGCTTCATTAATAAACTTTGCAATTTCAGATGCTGTGAAAACCTTCGATTTTTTTGGTTTATAACCAGATGAGGCTCTTTTTAAAAATGCCACTAATTTATGATAGGTGTCGATATGAACGTCTTTCTTCATCTTAATTGTTAATTTTAGCATTGAATACGTACTCCATAGCGTGCTTGCTTTCTTGGTCTCAGATAATTCTATAAAATATGCCAGCAAAACGTTTTCGGAGAAAGTTTTTGCTCCTTTAGCTAGTCGCCACATGTTAAATATATCGTACTGTTTCAAATACTTCTCTCGTGATTGCTGAGGGAGAAGGCTCATTTGCGCATTATTAACTGTTTCAGTTAACTCAGTTGGCGTTAGATAAACTTCATCGTCGCTAATGTCACTCATTTTAGTTGATTTTTTTGTACAGTTTTTAGGTTATGTTAATTATATTAAGCAATAAAACGTGAAAAACTAGAATGGCGCGAAGCACGCAAATAAAACAAAGAAACCAAGAAGGTTCCAAATTTAAATTTTTTCACAATTTAAAAAGTTCTAATCATAAATTTGGCACCATAGAGGTTACATTAAATAGGTTTAATGACGTTTTGAATTTACAATTATATTGAGTACTCATTATATGTGATGTTCTAAATTCAAATCTACTTTGCCGCTCAAGCGAATAAAATAGAATTTTCCAGCCAGATTTCGAAGCGCAAAATTACACTTTCCGAGGTGGTGGGATGAAAAATATATTTTTTCATTAAAATTACTGTTTGTTTTGAATCTTATTCGGTAGTGACGTAGAGTACTGGTCGCGTGATTGGTCGGACGCGGTTCTCGCCGTCTCGTTCGCGCTGCCGTTGAAACTTAACGTGCTGTTTCGTTCGGGTCGGTAATGCAGTGACGCAGATCTCGCCGTCCCGTTCGCGCTGCCGTGGGATTAGTTTGTGTTTGATGTACGAGCATACCGTATCTACCCTTTTTGTCTAAAGAAAAGTTTACTAGAAAAAAAATGTGGGTTACCTACAATGCGAAGAGATGGCGCTGCCTTGCAGCTTAACGCTAGGAAAATTTCGACGCGGCTAATAGGGCCGTGGTAGCATAATGGTCAGTGCATTCGCCCGGATTGCGAAGGATGCGGGTTCGAGTCCCGTCCGCTGCCTGGTCCGCGTGGATTTTTTTCTAGTAAACTTTTCTTTAGATTTAAACATCTAGCAGTTAAATGCTTAAAAATAAATAAAATCATACCTGTTCAACCTTAAACAATGTTTATTTTGGTTTTGATAGTATTTAGTACCATTTGGTTACGAAAGATGGTGCTAATAAAATGTGTCAAATGTTCAGGTATATATTCTAAATCGCGCTGTCGAAAATATTTTATGTATATACTTATAATAGATAAATAAGGTTCAAAATTGCGAATAAATTGGGCCACAGCGATCTGTGGAAACAGGGTGCCAGTTTTTTTTGATTTAAGAAACCCCCTGTCAATGAACCCCCAGAAACCAACCCTCAATTAGTACAGGGTTGTACAATACCCTTTTTGTTTTAATCTAAGCCTGTATAGCAGTCACTCACCAGGTTGCGGTCCCTGACGCCAGGGTGGCGTAGCTTAACCTCGAGCACGGTGTCGCTGGCGCTGCCGTCGTTGTGAATCAACTGCGTCATGCGCACGTAGCCCCACGCGAAACCGCCCGGGTGGTGGAACGACGCGATGCCGCGTATCTCGCGCGCCTCCGACGGACTGTACCCTCGCTCCACCGAACTGCACGCCCAGCGACGATCTCTGTTCTGATGACAATGACGACAACAACACTAAGGGTGAGGCCAAACGAGCGTAATTTTGTGAGTGGTGAGTCGCAGAATGTCGGTCGCAGAAATTCTGCTGCATTCGGTTTCATACAAAAAGGCAGTTGGTGCCACACGACAACGCAAAATGAGTTGTCTGCCGACTCAATGCGCATAAGCTCGTCCGAATTTCGGTCGGGGTGAGGGTAGGGCAAGGAAGGGGAGGGTCTCATGTTTGTGTCTGATTTAATGATAAAAGGTTTTACGTGGTGTAATAATTCTTGAAAAACACGTAATGGCATATGATAGTACTTTTCAAACATATCTGGATTTGCACATAAACGTTCATATAAAGTATGGAACTGTCCACATATCAGCCTCTGACTATTCAGTGGGTTTACCCAGTTTCTTTTTCTGGCCTCATCTTCTGAATATGCTTCGTAAATACACAATATTTTTAATGGATCCATTGCACTCGACGACACGAACACCCCGTACTAACGCTCAATAGTAACTGAATAAATTACGTTCGTATGGCAGCTCAACAGAAATTCAGTTGAACGTAAAATAAGTGACCGAAAATAAGCGACTCACAACTCACAAAATTACGCTCGTTTGGCTTCACCCTAATAAAATCGTGGCCGAAACCTGTCCAAAAGGTACTTTGGACGATCCACGGAGCTCCGTAAGATGATAGCGTAGTCCAAAACATTATAAGGCATTATTTAAACACCTTTAATGCATACTGTTTAAGATCTTAGTTAAGATGCATGCTTCATAGAGTTATGATGATATGTTCATATCCATCCATAGGCACCAGTCACCATAGCCAAATATCTATATTATCTCATATCTATTAGACAAGTCCGTCCGTCCGTCTGTGGTGCTGTTTCAGCGGCCAAACCGTAAGAGATAGATAAAGAGAATATTTAAGTTATAAGTTAAGAATAGTCTGATAAGACTACAAACCGGATTTGAGTAACGTAGAACTTCTGGTTTTCGAGAAATCAGGTTTTGGTGAACATTTGGTTCACTGGTTTGCTAGTTAAATTTAATAGTATAATAAATACGCATTCGTATAAAAAGTTTAATTATTGAAGAGTACAAGCAACCAAACAGCACAATATCGGCTAACTGCTTAAAAACAATTCACACCGTTCGGTCGTCGCTGCGGCGCATTCGCGACTGGATGCCCACCGGGTGCCGCGCGAACTCGAGTGGCGTAGGTATGACACGCTTTCGACCGTTTGTATGAAGATAGAATACTGTATAGATAATATTACCGTGACAACACTAATAAAATCGTGGCCGAAACCTGTCCAAAAGGTACATTGGACGATCCACGGAGCTTCGTAAGATAATCGAGTAGTCCAAAACATTATAAGGCATTATTTAAATACCTTTCACCTTTAATGCATTCTGTATACGATCTTAATTAAAATGCATGCTTCATAGAGTTAAGACAGTTCGAAATTATTAATCTTCATATCCATCCATAGGCACCAGTCTCCATAGCCAAATATCTATTTATATAAAACTCAAAGGTGACTGACTGACTGACATAGTGATCTATCAACGCACAGCCAAAACCACTGGACGGATCGGGCTGAAATTTGGCATGCAGGTAGATGTTATGACGTAGGCATCCGCTAAGAAAGGATTTTGATCAATTCTACCCCCAAGGGGATAAGATAGGGAATGAAAGTTTATATGAAACTTTGTCAATTTTAAACCGATCGGACTGAGACTTTGCATGCAGATGTAAGAAGAATCATAGATGAAAGTCATTGTGTATAATACAAGCCTGATAACAAAAACTGTAGTCTACACTTCAGCTCTACGCCGAAGCGAGGGCGGGCCGCTAGTTGTTAATAATATGATATTATATGTAAAGCACTTTCTTTTATGGAGAAAATAAAGCTGATTTATTATTATTGCTCTATAGAAGGTGCTCCAACAATAATTGGTGAATGACCCACCTTCCTGTGCAGAACTACGGACCGCCCCAGAATGCTGTAAGGTCCATACAGCGACACCTGAGTCTCGTTGTAGTCCGTGTGAATAGAACGCAAATCGTCCAGCAATCCGTACTTATTTCCTAGATCACCCAATTCGTACTGATCTGCTGTGCCTGAAAATTATACACGAACCTTGTTATACTTAGATACTTTTTTTAACTTTTACTCAGGCTGCTCAACAGATTTAACGTCCAATGTATTATCTGTGCAGCAGTAAAATTATCCACCACAATAGGCATAGGCCACCGACCACAACCACAAAACGCCGCCACCGGCATATTTCTTGTAGTTTTCATACATTTTATATGGACGCCACACGCTACAAATCGTCGTTGCTCGCTTCTTGTGGCCCGCACCGGCCACTTAATGCGCCGATACAAAACGCCGCCACACGTCACTCGCGCGATTCCCCACCCCTCTCTCCCTTACCTTAGTCGGCCGCTGTCGCGCGCTTCAGCCACTTTAGTAGCCGCTTCTAGCTTCTTGTGGCGGCGTTTGTGGCTGCGGCGTGGGGCCCGTGTGCGGCGACACTTAAAGCGTGTCAGAAGTACGAAAGGTACCATACTTTTGACACACGGTTAATACAAATCGTCGTTGCTCGCTTCTTTTGGCCCGCTCTGGCCACTAATGCGCCGATACAAAACGCCGCCACACGTCACTCGCGCGATTCCCCACCTTCAAATCTTCTTCGTCAGAGACCATTAGGATACTGCACGCTTGTGTTAAAAAAAGTAGCAACCGAAAGGCAAGTGTCGACCACCGGCCACAAGTGGCTGTCGCGCACTTCAGCTACCTTAGTAGCCGCTTCTAGCTTCTAGTGACGAGGTTTGCCGCATTGGCGTTGCATGATAAAATCTGCATTTTATAATAACAATTAATTGTTAGTATCTATATCTTTATATATATAATTCTTCTGTGAGTGTGTATGTCAAAGAACTTCTCTGAAACGACTGGACCGATTTTAATGAAATTTTTTTGTGTGTGTTCAAGGGGATCTGAGAATGGTTTAGATTCACAATTTTGTCTGCTGGACAACCCCTATTTTTTTAGGGCGGTACGAAGTTCGCTGGGTCAGCTAGTGTATATATAAAACTCAAAGGTGACTGACTGTCTGACATAGTGATCTATCAACGCACAGCTCAAACCACTGGACGGATCGGGCTGAAATTTGGCATGCAGGTAGATGTTATGACGTAGGCATCCGCTAAGAAAGGATTTTGATCAATTCTACCCCCAAGGGGATAAAATAGGGAATGAAAGTTTATATGAAACTTTGACAATTTTAAACCGATCGGGCTGAGACTTTGCATGCAGGTATAAGAAGAATCATAGATGAATGTCATTGTGTATAATACAAGCCTGAGAACAAAAACTGTAGTCTACACTTCAGCTCTACACCGAAGCGAAGCGAGGGCGGGCCGCTAGTTGTATTATAAAATGCACACCTTATCAAAGTACCCGTGGCTCAGTGGTAGAAAGCACGCCTGCTACGCGGGCGGCCCGGGTTCTATTCCTAGCCAAAAAGGACTTTTTTTACTGAACTATATCATGGTTTTGGAAGAGCTCGATGGCGCAAGTGGTAAGCGCATTCGGCTGCGATCGTTGAAGTTAAGCAACTTTCGCAGTGGTCGGACATTGGATGGGTGACCAAAAATTGACTATCTTGAGCTCCTCCGTGCTTCGGAAGGCACGTTAAGCCGTTGGTCCCGGCTTCGTCTGCAGTCGTTAGCACCCACCAATTCGCACTGGGCCCGCGTGGTGGGTCATGAATCTATTGCATCCGTAGGGAAAGCCTGTGCCCCAGCAGTGGGGACATTAAAAGGCTGATGATGATGATGATATCATGGTTTTAACATACCACACCAATTTTTATTTCCATAGCGAACTTTTCGATGTGCGTGAACTGGCTTACCTTTTGTTGGTGGTGGGCTCTGATTTTTATCTACTTTGAATGGATTGTATGTATCGTACAGAGAGGTTTTCTCACAAGGAAACTCAAGATCCTTCTCTACTGGTGCCTGAAATACAAAGAATTCACATACATCGGGCCATTAGGGATCTTTATTATTCTCATATAATCTGGGATCCTTTAAAAGAGGCGTGAAGAAGCAACATGCAGGCCGGCAGGGTGACGATGGCTGGTGTGGCAGGTAAAACTGCTGCATCAGCTATCTTCACGTCTGGACTTCACCTTCACTTATCATCAGGTGGGGTGGGGTCATTTATCGGTCCTATCTATAGAAAAAAATGGGTGCGTGTACTTATGTAGGCGCGTGAGAAGTTATCCTTCTTTGGCATCGTTTAAAATTAGTTTTTAATTGCATGCAAATAATTAATTACAATAAATTAATAAAAAGTCTGGAAAAGGACACAGTCAATAAAGTTCAGTTTTAATTTGAAAAAATAAATAAATAATCAAAATATTCAATTAAAATCGCTACTGAATATAATTTATTAGAACATATGTGATTTGCACTTGTATGAAACTCAAACACGTATTCCGAATATACAAACTAGAAACATGTGGATAAATATTATAAATATGAATACCTATAACTGTTACTTTATTACAAAAAATAAAGATGTGGTTTTTGGTTCTACTACACCAATGGTCAAGAGATGGCGCTGTAGTCTCCTGAATCGCGCTTTGGTTCCGTTGTTCCAAATTAATAAATACTTTTGATATTATAAATATGAATACCTATAACTGTTACTTTATTACAAAAAATAAAGATGTGGTTTTTGGTTCTACTACACCAATGGTCAAGAGATGGCGCTGTAGTCTCCTGAATCGCGCTTTGGTTCCGTTGTTCCAGATTAATAAATACTTTTGATAGGCCTTCACAATGCAGTCGTTAGCACCCACTAAATAGAGATTCTATTTCTATTTTGTTGGTAGATTTTCTTAATGTGCGGTAAACACAAAAGTAACAGCATGAAGTTGGTCGCTTTAGCGAAAATTTTGTGTTACAGTGATGCGCGCGCATCTTAAAATTTCACTCTCATCATTTTTTCATAACGCGCCTAAAGAAGTATAACTTCAAAAAACCGTACCAGATACATGACATTTCAGTTGAAACAAGTATTTTTCTATGTTTTTTTAATTTATAAGTTTAAAACAAGTACTCAGCTTTGCCAATTCACGAATCGAAATAATGAAAGTGCCTAAACTTATATCAATCAGATCTGAATGTTACGCCTCTCACTCACCACATGTATCTTATAATTAGTGATTCCTTCGAAGCCTTCCAGGGTGACTTGAACGTTGGTGACGTCATACTCCGACTGTTGCGTCAGCTCCAGCTTACCCTTCAGCGGTACCGGCTCACCATTGCCGAACCAGTCGCGAATCACCGCCTTACGCCGGTAAAGGCCATTCACTCTAAGGAAAAGAGATTTTAGTTAAGTGTTTTTCACCATCTAAGGTCGTAGGTACTAGATTCTAACGCGATGATGAATGCAATTAAATACCGATTTATTTGTTTCTTAGGTTTTCACGCACATCACACATTAAATAAAACAGTTTTAAATAAAGTAAATAAGAAATGGATGCGTGTAACTTATGTACGCGCGTGAGAAGTTACACTTCTTTAGCATCATTAAAAATATTTTTTAATTGCATGCAAATAATTAATAATTACAATAAAATAATAAAAGGACTGGAAAAGGATAGTTAACAAAGTCAATTAAGTTCAGTTTTAATTTGAAAAATTAAATAAATATTCAAAATATTCAATTAAAATCACTACTGAATTTAAGTTATTAGTCCATATGTAATTAGCACTTGTAAGTAACTAAAACACGTTGTGTCTATATAGAAACTAGAAACATGTGGATAAATATTATAAATATGAAAACAGTGATCAGAGGCGACGAGCGTGCCAACATTGTTTTTGACAACGCGATCATCTTATGGAGCTCCGTGGATCGTTCAAAGTACCTTTCGAACAGATGTCTAATAATGGTGGATTATTAACCACTAAGTGGTTAATAATCCACCATTATTAGACACTAACATTCATAACGCGCCCGCGGCCAACTTCATGGTGTTACTATTGTGTTACAGTGATGCGCGCGCATCTCGAAATTTCACTCACATGATTTTTTCATAACGCGCCCGCGGCCAACTTCATGTTGTTACTTTTGGGTTACAGTGATGCGCGCGCATCTAAAAATTTCACTCTCATCGTTTTTTCATAAAGCGCCTAAAGAAGTATAACTTCAAAAATCATTAATCTGAAGATGCATTCCTGAAAAGATTGCTAAACGTCAGTAAATAAATAAATTCAGTGAATATAGCCCGTTAAGACTGTTTTATTTAAATACTAATTGCTTAAAAACTAGTCATCATATATAGCTCCGAATATGGATGCTCCATTAGTTCAGAATAGGCTAGTTTACTCATGTCGAATTGTATTAAATAAACGTTTATTTCTTAAAGTATTTAGTCTAAGGAACCTTAATATATCGATTTCACTTCATAAAAGCAGAAGATTGCTGTAGAAATTTAATTTTAAAAAATATTTTTTAGTCTATATTTTTTAAACACTAAAAACGCTGTTCGCCACATCCGCCATGATTGTGACGTCTCTTTCAGTAAACAACTAAATGTCATTCGCGTGTTATTGTGGGTGGATTCTTTATGCTGAATAAATTTATCCTAAAACACTTTTAACTTTAGAAAAGTTTCCGTTTACTTTTTTTTTGACAAAACTAATTATGGATGCCGGCTTTGTGAAAGCAGAAAGCACAAATCTGCCAAGAATTGACGCATTGATGGTTGGTGAATTTTTTGCACTTAACCCCCATTTTTTCTCTGCGGAGCAGAGAAACGACAAGGCATCTATGTAAGTACAGTGCATTTAGTATTACAATGTAGTAATAAACATAAAACTGATACAACATATGAATAAGTGTAATAAAGTTGCGTAGGTTAATTTCTTTCGGCACTTTAATCCATAACATTCCTGGAGTCTTCAAGGATGTGTTTTTATATTCTCGTACAATACAATAATGATAATTACTTTATTTTTCGTGGTATTTATTAGAAATCGTGTTCTTTTTATTATAAACTCAGATAAGTTATTTTCTACGTGCTTACGAGTTTTTGTTTACTATAATTGACATCATAGCATAGACAATCTATAGACTAAAATGGCCGACAGCGTTTTTGTATGTCCATGAAAATTCTATTTTAAAATTAAAGATTTGTAGCTCTCTAGGTCTCAAAAAAAATTCAATACATTTTTTTTCGGTCTAATAGAACATTTATTCACCATTTAAAACCTTTTTCCAAAAAGGGTCAACTAGCCTATTGGTCAGTACATTCGCCCGGATTACGAAGGGTGCGGGTTCGAGTCCCGTCTGCTGCCTGGTCCCCGTGGAATTTATTCTAGTTATATTTTATTTAAATTTAAACATCAAGCACTTACATGCTTTAAAAATAAAAATTATATAACTAGTTTTAAACAAAGTAAATAAAAAAACATTAATCTGAAGACGCATTCCCGAAAAGATTGCTAAACGTCAGTAAATAAATAAATTCAGTGCATATAGCCCGTTAAAACTGTTTTATTTAAATACTAATTGCTTAAAAACTAGTCATCATTTATAGCTCCGAATATGGATGCTCCATTAGTTCAGAATTGTGGAATGACGGTTGAATTAAATAAGGTCGTTGTATGTGACCAGCGACACGGTAATATTATCTATACAGTATTGTGACTCTGCCCTGTCCTTGAAAATAAATGCCTAGGCCGAGCGCTGCGTTAGCACGCGGTAGGGCCGTCCGCCTACAGTATTTTATGTAGTTTGGTTTTTAACGCGAGTGTAGGTAGATTACTCGTTTGTCTCTTTTTTCATCCTAACCACTTATTTATATATTATTCCAGATATTTTGCCCGATGGAAAAACCGAAATACCTAAATATTAGAAACAAATTACGTACTAGTAGATAGGTATATAAAAAATGGGTGCGTGTACTTATGTAGGCGCGTGAGAAGTTATCCTTCTTTGGCATCGTTTAAAATTAGTTTTTAATTGCATGCAAATAATTAATTACAATAAATTAATAAAAAGTCTGGAAAAGAACACAGTCAATAAAGTTCAGTTTTAATTTGAAAAAATAAATAAATAATCAAAATATTCAATTAATTCGCTACTGAATATATTTTTTTAGAACATATGTGATTTGCACTTGTATGAAACTCAAACACGTATTCCGAATATACATCCTAGAAACATGTGGATAAATATTATAAATATGAATACCTATAACTGTTACTTTATTACAAAAAATAAAGATGTGGTTTTTGGTTCTACTACACCAATGGTCAAGAGATGGCGCTGTAGTCTCCTGAATCGCGCTTTGGTTCCGTTCTTCCAGATTAATAAATACGTTTGATATTATAAATATGAATACCTATAACTGTTACTTTATTACAAAAAATAAAGATGTGGTTTTTGGTTCTACTACACCAATGGTCAAGAGATGGCGCTGTAGTCTCCTGAATCGCGCTTTGGTTCCGTTGTTCCAGATTAATAAATACTTTTGATAGGCCTTCACAATGCAGTCGTTAGCACCCACTAAATAGAGATTCTATTTCTATTTTGTTGGTAGATTTTCTTAATGTGCGGTAAACACAAAAGTAACGCATAGCGACCAACTTCATGCTGTTAAAATTTTGTGTTACAGTGATGCGCGCGCATCTTAAAATTTCACTCTCATCATTTTTTCATAACGCGCCTAAAGAAGTATAACTTCAAAAATATTCTATAAAGGTAAGACACCTTTCCAATATTTCAGGTAATTTAAAAAATGATATCTCTGGGTGTGTTATAGAAGAGTTCAAGCAACCAAAAACAGCATATTGATCGTCGTTTGTTCTTTTCCATACTAAATTATGTAGGTAGGTGTAAATTAAGTATAATTAAATCAAATATTTACAATACAAAACGCACGTTTAAGCACGGCTAACTGCATAAAAAGCAATTCAGACCGTTCGGTCGTCGTTGCGGCGCGGCGGCGCATTCGCGACTGGGTGCCCGCCGAAAGCACATCGAACTCGAGTGGCGTAGGTATGACTCGCTTTCCAACCGTTTGTATGAAGATAGAATACTGTATGATATTATTACCGTGCCGCGACTTCCTCATGATGGGAACGTTGACAGGCTGATGCTGCTGCAGCTGCTACACTCACATGGAACACGCCATCCGCTCTCCGCGCGCGACGGGCCCGTGGTCATCGTATATGACCAGCGACTTCTTCATGATGGAGTATTTGCCGGCCAGCGCTACAACCGTGTCTGTGAACAGGCGGCGAGTCAACCGCGCACTCTCTCGTTTTTTGCCCGCCACCGCCAAATTGCCGTGTCTGCGAATCCAAGATTGTTACGTATTTTTTGTTTTTATTTATTTATTTATGGACCATCAACACAGCTATATTAATACAAACCAATCACACTAATATCATAAAGGTGAAAGTTTGTGAGTGTGTATGTTTGTTACTTCTTCACGTCTAAACGGCTGGAGCGATTTTAATAAAATTTGATATGGAGTTAGCTGATACCCTGGATTAACACATAGGCTACGTTTTACTGCGGGAAAACATCTCTACTATACCGCAGGTAACACCGCGGGGCACAGCTAGTTTATACTTAAGTATCACTACATAGTATAAACAAAGTCGCTTTCTCTGTCCCTATGTCCCTTTGTATGCTTAAATCTTTGAAACTACGCAACGGATTTTGATGCGGTTTTTTTTAATAGATAGAGTGATTCAAGAGGAAGGTTTATATGTATAATGCATGCATAATATAGTAGAGAAATACTGATAATTTTAGAGGTTTTTAATGTAAGGTCGTAAATAAACACATTTTTTGCGTTTACATTGCAAACGCTGGCTGAACCCCACGAGATAGATCAAAATAATGTACTACAGTATTGTACACCTTAAAAAGGTCTACAAAAAAGTCCGCGATGGTATATGCCTATCTCTTAAGGATAACCCACAATAACCAATTTTTATCCTATACTTTTTACGAGAAATAATAGATTATTTACGAAGCGATTTTAAGCAATATAACATTCATCCTTATCCAATTAAGTACCTTAAATACATTGTGCATTTAATATAGAACAATTTGGCCCTATAACGCATATAATTTAAATGAATATTTTCGAAGATATTACAAATTTAAAATTCAGGGACATAGCGGTTCCGACGCTACCGGGCTTGGCGGCGCGTGCCTATTGTAATTGGGTATTAGAAGAATGTCATTATGTATAATACAAGCCTGAGAACAAAAACTATAGTCTACACTACAGCTTTACACCGAAGCGAAGCGAGGGCGGGCCACTAGTTAGGATATAAAATAACTGTAATTAAAGATGGCGTCATCATGCGCTAAACAGTAAACAGTTTTATTTACATTTTCTACATACGGAATTTACTACACAACACACATATTTGCCCAATCACAGAACAACAACAGTCTATCATGCTCTATAATTATTTAAAAGGGGAGGACACTGCCAAATATGGTCGTAAGTTCAGAGAATCACTTACGTACCACATTATTGGCAAACTAATTTTATTAACAACAATATTAAACAATTAAGTATGTACTTTCTCAGTATTCTAAATATTTGATTTTTAAAAGTTGGTATTTTATCATGAAAAATATCAATAGTATGATCCTTCTTCACGTCTAATGTCATTCTAGACGGATACGCGTTTACCGGTAGTATAATATTTTTTAGATGAGAACAAAAATACTTTTTGTTTTTAGCTATGCTACTTTCTATCAAATTAATGTATTTAGAATAACAATCTTTCCTACCTATTAACATAATTCACCCTTTGTTTTACTGGTTACTTTGTTTGATAATTTATTGACTGGATTAGGACAGATTCCTTTTCTAAACAAAGGATTTTTGCTTTATAAATAGATATGGCGAACGCATCTCTCACTTGCGATTTGCAGACGACATCGTCATCATGGCAGAAACCCTGCAGGACCTACAACAGATGCTGAATGACCTGGCTGACTCTTCTATACGCATCGGCCTACGGATGAACTTGGATAAAACCAAGGTCATGTTCAATGAACATGTTCTACCGGAACCGATTGCAATACACGGTGCCGTTCTCGAAGTTGTTCAAAAATATGTGTACCTCGGGCAGACATTGCAGTTAGGTAGAAACAACTTTGAGGACGAGGCGAATAGAAGAATTCAGCTAGGTTGGGCAGCGTTTGGGAAGTTACGTCAAGTCCTGACATCGTCGATCCCACAGTGTCTAAAGACGAAAGTCTTCAATCAGTGCGTCCTACCTGTGGACACTGACGGTACGGCTGGTCCACAGGTTCAAAGTCGCTCAACGCGCTATGGAAAGGGCTATGCTCGGCGTTTCTCTGAAGGATCGCATCAGAAATGAGGTAATCCGGCAGAGAACCAGAGTTATCGACATAGCCCACCGGATTAGCAAGTTGAAGTGGCAGTGGGCTGGCCATATTTGTCGAAGATCCGATAACCGTTGGGGTAGACGAGTTCTGGAGTGGAGACCGCGTCTAGGTAAACGTAGTGTAGGACGTCCTCAGGCGCGATGGAGTGACGATTTGCGCAAGGTGGCTGGCAGGAGCTGGATGCGAGTAGCTCTAGATCGATCTAAGTGGCGTGCATTTGGAGAGGCCTATGTCCAGCAGTGGACTAAGATAGGCTGTTGATGATGATGATGAAATAGATATGTCTTAATATAACGCGATCGTATGACCCACGGGTACATTTTCTGACTATCTATCCCCACCGAGGTTTTCTCTGAATTTTGGAATTCCCCGCACTGGGACAGCGCCCGGTTCAGTTGTAATACATACCTCGTGGTGAAGTCTCCAATCCTGCAAAGCCCCTCCAGACCTGGTCGGCAGTACTGCTCCGGATGCCTGTTGTCCACGTCGATGCCGTGTGGCTCGTACACGCCTCCCGCGCTCAGACAGCGCCCAGTCCAGTTGTAGAAGTCCTTGCCCGGGGCGCGCTCGTGAATCGCCCAGCGATGCTCGAATGTATTATTCACGTTCGCGCCATCAGCGTGAATCTGTCAGGAGTTGTTTCTTATCAAAACTCATAGTATGACAAGTGCAATAGGATATGGTGCAGTGCTTCATGCTCAACTTGCAGTCAAAACCCTAGTATTTTAAAATTTGGCTGACAACAGTTTCAATAATGCTAAAAATTAGACTATTTTTTACAATAGATGCATAGATAAATAGAATTTTCTCTTTTATGGACAATAATGTTATCTGATAATGGATAAATGAATTGCCGTGAATGTAAATAGCTGGCAGTTAGCATATCACTTTCTTTTCCTTATCTATATCTATACTTATAATAAATCTGTAGAGATGTCAATTCTGTACATGAAATATATTTTTAAAATAACTATCAGGGGGTGATTAGTGATCGATACTGATGCCCAAAATGCAGTCTGTCTGTCTGTGTGTATGTTCCTTATAGAAACAAAAACTACTCGACGGATTTTAACGAAACTTGGTACAATTATTCTTCATACTCTTCGGCAGGTTATAGTATACTTTTCATCACGCTACAATCAATAGGAGCAGAGTAGTGAAGGGAAATGTTGGGAAAACGGGAGAAGTTACTCCATATTTTAAGCTTCCGTCGCGTGTGCAGCCTTAATGATTAAAGTTACATAGAAATCATGTATGACGCAAATATTCTACATAAAATTGTCTAAAAAATATCCCGCAACAGAGTATGTCTATCTTTTATGGTTGACTCACAATAACACGTGTAACTCCTGATAGCTTAGCAGTTCGGAGCATTCTGATCATATTTGTTTACTCTTACGTTTATAATACTCAGTATAGAAACACCAAACTTATACATGAATAAGCCATCGCGCCGTCGCACGTGAATACTGAATCATGCTATAAGGATTATTTTTGTGTAACGGCCGCCGCGACCGTGTAGAATAAAGTTTATATAAATTTTCCGAATCAAATCATTTAACAATACCAGAATATCATTAGCACGTTGTCTGCTTAATCTACTCTGATCCATTAATAGATAAAAGTTTTCGAACAGATTAAGGTTTACACACCATCAATCAAATCAAAATATATTTATTCACCAATACAAAATTTTAACCTAGCTTACAATTAAACAGTGGTTTTTGCACTGAGCTGAGCTCGTAACGCAAAAACCTAATTTTCAGTTTTTCTGAATGGTTCGCATTACATTAAGTTGACAAAACTCGGGAGGTGAACATTGTGAGTGAGGAAGTTACGGTAATACTTAAATGTTTGAGTAACATTAAGACAAAAAATATGAATATAGAAAAATTATTAAAGTAACTTTAAACATTTTTACTGAAAATTTTTACAAGTTACATATTATATTTAATAAAAAATCCTCGAATTATAATTACTCTATGTGTGTATATGTGAGTGTGAGTCTGTGTGTGTGCGAGTGTGGATGTGTGTGTGCGAGTGTGGATGTGTGTGTGTGAGTGTATGTGTATGCGCGCATGGGTGTGTGTGTGCCTGTGATAATTTTCAACTCGCCCATAGTTAAGTAAGTAATCAACTTACAAGCCTGATATGTCCTCTGTTTCCTGATATGACAGATCCATGAGCCAAGAGGAAACCATCCTTTTGACACAAATTATAGACTGAAGGGGAAGATTAACAAAGAAGCGACAAATCTTATTGTAAATGAAAGAAAGAAGAAATGTGGAATGGCGTTGGATGAATGACGTATGTGTGATAGCCATACCACAGCGGTGACACTCTGTGTACGTGAGAGTTCCAGCGTCAGTGACCTTGAGCAGGAGCGTGTATGCGCTAGGGTTGAACTTGGAATTTAGACTTGTGCCAATGAATATTTATGCATAGTAAGTTATTAAATGTAAACTGATTCAAGGATACTGGGGTAAATAATGAAGGATAGGTTTGATTTTATAATCAATTTTTAATCTTTTAATGTAGGTACTATAACAAATTGCTAACTTTTATATATTTTCTCCTTTTTCAATTCGTTTTATAATTCTTATTATTATCTAAATAATAATAAGATTGCGTAGCGTAGTCAGTCTGTGCGTGCAATGCAGTGCAACGCTATTATTTTACTATTTCGCTACTGCCATCCCTTCGGTCGAGGCAGTCGGCGACTGCCCTCTCCACGCCCCGCGCGCCGCGCAACGCCCCCGCACACCTCCAGACACCCACACATAGCCGCGGGCGATTTTACGAGCACACATGCTTAAGTGTCGCTTCTTTTCGCGTAGTGTATATATTCTGTGGCCATACCATACTCTCAATGATGATAGTGGTATCCTCCCAGGGCCGTTCGAGCGGCTGACGGAACACCACCGTGCCCACGAGCGGGTACCGGAACACCACCTGCGCGGAGCTCATCTGCGTCTGGAACTCCGTGCCGTACTCATACGGTAGGATGGTGCCGCAGATCTCGCGTTTCGGTGCTCGCCTGGAGAGAAACCTCATCATTATTAAATAAAATAAATATTTCCAGCACTCGCACCAATTAGCCTAGACCCAAAGTAAGCATTGGAGGCTTGTGTTATGGGATACTAGGGTAACGGATAGAATACTTAAACTTTAATACATATATAAGTATATTTATATAGAAATACATAAATATCCATGACTGGAGTACAAATGCTCGTATTCATCACACAAACATCTGCCCCCACTGGGATTCGAACCCGGGAGCTTTCGAGTCAGCGACACCATGAAACCCGGCTAACAAACCACTTGATCACGGAGGACTTTGGAAGGGTCCGCGGAGCATCAATAACTTAGGCGTGAAAACCTCTGGTCTGTTAGTCCGTCTTGTAGTCCGATGGTGGAATGGAGGTACAAGATCATGTAGCGCTTGAGTGCCCTCACCAAAATGTAACCTATAAGGGTGAGGCCAAACGAGCGTAATTTTGTGAGTGGTGAGTCGCAGAATTTCGGTCGCAGAAATTCTGCTGCATTCGGTTTCATACAAAAAGGCAGTTGGTGCCACACGACAACGCAAAATGAGTTGTCTGCCGACTCAATGCGCATAAGCTCGTCCGAATTTCGGTCGGGGTGAGGGTAGGGCAAGGAAGGGGGGTGGGGAAGCAACAGTTTGTTACAAGTTGCGTGGTGTAATAATTCTTGAAAAACACGTAATGGCATATGATAGTACTTTTCAAACATATCTGGATTTTCACATAAACGTTCATATAAAGTATGGAACTGTCCACATATCAGCCTCTGACTATTCAGTGGGTTTACCCAGTTTCTTTTTCTGGCCTCATCTTCTGAATATGCTTCGTAAATACACAATATTTTTAATGGATCCATTGCACTCGACGACACGAACACCCCGTACTAACGCTCAATAGTAACTGAATAAATTACGTTCGTATGGCAGCTCAACAGAAATTCAGTTGAACGTAAAATAAGTGTCCGAAAATAAGCGACTCACAACTCACAAAATTACGCTCGTTTGGCTTCACCCTAAAAGACGGTCAGAAAAATGGTGATCAGCTTACCTAACGACTACCAGAGACCGGTGCACTACGCTGTTAATCCCGTACAGTGGCAGGAACACGTCCCAGTAGGCGCCGCTCAACTCGTTAGCCAGCCCCGGCAGCAGGTACTTATGGTTCAGGTACTCGGTGCGCTCCTTGTACTTGCCCAGCAGGTCCCCCACTGGATACTGATCCTGAGTTCCCATACCTGATGTAACATGGAATGTATCATTTAAAGGTATATAGAAATGACAGTACTTATGCTTTTTGTTCAGAAAGCAGAGTCTTAAAGATGTTCTGCTCTTCTGTAGTAGTAGAGTAGTGAAGGGAAATGTTGGGAAAACGGGAGAAGTTACTCCATTTTTTAAGCTTCCGTCGCGTGTGCAGCTTTAATGGTTAAAGCTACATAGAAATCATGTATGACGAAAATATTCTACATAAAATTGTCTAAAAAATATACCGCAACAGCATATGTCTATCTTTTATGGTTGACTCACAATAACACGTGTAATAATATAAATAAAGTCATTGTTTATAACACAAGCCTGAGAACAAAAACTATAGTTCACACTACAGCTCTACACCGAAGCGAAGCGAGGGCGGGCCACTAGTATCTACTTAAACTTTCAAGTGTGGTATTCTGACCAATAAACATTGTAATCTTATGGTCAGACACATCAGAATATTTCGAGCGAGATTTTTATAATAAGCCAAATGATTTAATCACAACACAATACCTACGTGTCAAGGCATCTACGAGTACAAAACAGACATTATTGTACAAATAATTGTTGGTTTTCATTGCATCTTCAAACCAAAACAGTCAACAATACCCGTCTGGATTCCACATATTTCATCAGCGGATGAAACAAACATCGACTTTACATTCGATCGTGAACCTTATCTTCGAGGAATAAAAGTTAATATAGGCTAATGCGTGTGAAGGGTTATCAGATGAAAAAATCAAAAGTCCGGAGAAAAGGCTTGATTTCCATTGAAAAATTCTGAGTTAACAATTGAGAAAATTCGTAATATTATTGTTAATATACATGCTGCTTATACTTTTAATTCAATATGATTTGAAGAGCTTAATATGTGGGGCATATTATAAATCCATAATTAAAGAAAAAACCTTACTTAAAAATGTATCATCAGATATTAAGTATGATAAAACTGATCAAGTACATACTTGGATTTTAACTGTGCAATTATTATCAAAGGAAGATTATTTTTGGTTTGTTTAAGTTTTTATTAAAGAGATCTTTAAAACGTTAGCTGTATCTTATTGAAAATTCAAAAAATCCTGAGATTTCAAGAGATTTGCAAAATTTACTGTAATTAATTTACTGTGGCCACTATTCCTACACGAAAAAAAATGGATGCGTGTAACTTATGTACGCGTGTGAGAAGTTATACTTCTTTAGCATCATTAAAAATATTTTTTTTAATTGCATGCAAATAATTAATAATTACAATAAAATAATAAAAGGACTGGAAAAGGATAGTTAACACAGTCAATTAAGTTCAGTTTTAATTTGAAAAATTAAATAAATATTCAAAATATTCAATTAAAATCACTACTGAATTTAAGTTATTAGTCCATATGTAATTAACACTTGTAAGTAACTAAAACACGTTGTGTCTATATAGAAACTAGAAACATGTGGATAAATATTATAAATATGAAAACAGTTATCAGAGGCGACGAGCGTGCCAACATTGTTTTTGACAACGCGATCATCTTATGGAGCTCCGTAGATCGTTCAAAGTACCTTTCGAACAGATGTCTAATAATGGTGGACCACTTAGTGGTTATTAATCCACCATTATTAGACACTAACATTCATAACGCGCCCGCGGCCAACTTCATGGTGTTACTATTGTGTTACAGTGATGCGCGCGCATCTCGAAATTTCACTCTCATCATTTTTTCATAACGCGCCCGCGGCTAACTTCATTATGTTACTTTTGTGTTACAGTGATGCGCGCGAATTTTTTCATAACGCGGATAAAGAAGTATAACTTCAAAAAGAAATTTGGTAAATCATTTCTTTGTCGTACTATTCTTTGCCGGCAAGGTGAGGATGGTTGGTGTAGCAGTTTATAACTGCTGTACCAGCTATCTTCGCGTTTGGACTTTATTACCACTTAACATCAGGTGGGGTAGAGTCATTTGCCTACCTTAATTAATTTAATTAATCTGATAACTGTAATTTAATTAATCTTGAAAATGACATAAATAGTTCTTTGACATGCATAATTAATTGGCTTAATAATAATAATTTATTGATTAATTTGGACAAAACTAAAATAATGTATTTTAAGCAAAACACTAAAGATTTTGCATTAAATATTAACTATGATGATAAAAAAATTGGTGAAATGGAAGTGACAAAGTTTCTATGGCTGCTCATAGATTCTAGACTAAAATGGAAATATCATGTTGAACACGCATGTACTAAGCTGAGTCAGTTTTCCTATGCTTTATATAACTTACGGAAAATGGCTAATGAATCGACTTTGTTGACAGTGTATTATGGGAAAGCAGCACCGACATTACGATATGGATTGATTATTTTTGGGGAAATTGTACTGACGCAACCACTGCATTCAGGGCGCAAAAGAGATGCATCAGAGCTATGTTTAATTTACAACCTACAGAATCATGTGCACCGTTTTTTAAGAGGTTAAAAATATTGTGCCTTTACATTTTTGAAGGCGCTGTCTTTGCAAAAAGTAATTTTAAAATATTTAAGGCCAGAACTCGTGAACGTCATATTGGAAAACTTTGTGTAGTCCCCTGTAATACGGCACTATTTAAAAAAAGTGTGTTTTGCAATGCTCCTTATATTTATAGTAAATTACCTGAAAGTGTGCGAGAAATTACCGTGACCAATATATTTAAAAACAAATTACAACATTTTTTAATAGGAAAATGTTACTATACGGTGCGTGAATTTTTGGAAAACAAATGTTTTTAGACTAATATAGAAAATGACATGCATTAAATAATTTCAATCATATATTTATCACTTATTGACATTTTGAATTACCTAACTATGTTTTTATTAATGTGACATTGAAATAATTAATGTTTTATAGAAATATTATATTGCATGCCGATAAGGCAGAATATGGCTGTACTGTATTAAAATGTATCTATGTAACAACTTTGCAACCTGTATTCGCAATAAAGATGATTTGGATTTGGATTTAATATATTAAAAAAAAACAGCCGCAATCCTCAGAAGAGTCCAAAAATCCTGAAATCTCAGGACGAATCCTGAGATATGGTAACACTATGCGTGTGGCGTTTATTTCATCGTCTTCGGTTGTTGGCAGCGCACCAAATGCCCCGCCTGACCGACTTAAAGTCTGTTTTAAACTTTAGACCGTAAACTGGCGTTCGTTGATTGAAATTTGATCAGTTGCCCAAACTCGAATTATTGACAACTCCGTCCCTAGAAAAAGCTAGTTTCTTCTTAGATACGTTGCTCAGTTTTGTATATTTAAATAAAACAAGTGTCATATTTTTTTAAGCATGTAACTGCTTGATGTTAAAATCTAAAGAAAATATAACTAGAAAAAAATCCACGCGGACCAGGCAGCAGATGGGACTCGAACCCGCACCCTTTGCAATCCGGGCGAACGCACTGACCAATTATGCTACCGCGGCTCTGACCATTCTTAAGCTTCAAGGCAGCGCCATTTCTTCGCATTGTAGGTAACCCACAATGTCAAATTAATACTTTTACATGTATTAAACATTCGAAAGAAGAAATAGCAATTATAGTTATAATTTATTTTTTAAGCATGTAACTGCTTGATGTTTAAATCTAAAGAAAATATAACTAAAAAAAATGTGGGTTACCTACAATGCGAAGAAATGGCGCTGCCTTGCAGCTTAAGAATGGCTAAAAGAATTTAGACGCGGCCGTCAGGGCCGCGGTAGCATAATTGGTCAGTGCATTCGCCCGGATTGCGAAGGGTGCGGGTTCGAGTCCCGTCCGCTGCCTGGTCCGCGTGGATTTTTTTCTAGTTATAATTTCTTTAAAACAAGTGTCATTTAACTTTTTACAAAGTAGTAAATAAAAAAAATACATCACTTCACACAATACACAGCTTCACTGAGGAGCTCGATGGCGCAGGTGGTTAGCGCGTTCGGCTGCGATCATTGAAGTTAAGCAACTTTCGCAGTGGTCGGTCATTGGATGGGTGTAGAAAGAATTACTAATTCGAGCTCCTCCGTGCTTCGGAAGGTTCCGGCTGCATCTGTAGCACACACTAATCCGCAATGGGCCCACGTGGTGGGTCATGGCCCAATCTCCCTATTCCATCCATAGGGAAGGCCTGTGCCCCAGCAGTGGGGACATTAAAAGGCTAATGATGATGATAATAATAATAATAATTGTTTATTAAAGGCATATAAAACCCAATAAAGATGTCATATTCAAATTACAATAAAAAAATATAAAGTGTAAACAGAGTAAAAATAAATAAAATCATACGTAAAAGAAAAATAAAACAATTAAAACAGGTAATTAAAGATTACCTACGTCATTTGCGGTTTTCGCTCTGGTGCACTGATATCCAGTATTTAAATATACTTAGAATTATTTAGTCCTTGCATATGGTTATATATACTGTTATCAGAAAGACATATTCTTGACCAAAAAGAGGCTATACGCTTTCTCATAACTTGTTTAAAGTACCTGCGTTAACGTAAATTGATTAAGTACTAGATTAATTTTACTAAAAGAATAACCTAACTAGTATTGTGTTAAGTCATAAAAAATATAGTTTATAATATAATCTCATTAAACAGTCATTAGAGATGAGTTTTTATTAATAACTTTTTAATTATGAATGTGGAGACGTAAAACATTAGCTGAGGCTAATGTATACTGTATGAAAATTCTTGTTGAATCATCAATTCATCAGAAATTCGCTAATAACACCAAGCCACAACTCGAAACAAGAAATTATTTTAATTTAATTCGCTTTTCTTCTTTAGAGTAAAACTTCTTTTCCTACGTGGTCTAAATAGAAAAATCCTATGCAAAATATGCAACGGAAATACGGTACGAGTGAAACAAAACAATATATGTATGTGTGTGTTCGTGTGTCGGATGCGTGAGCAGCTCTTCCCGATGAACATGAAAGTTGAAGGGTAATTCGGCGAAAGCTGAAACGCTACAAACGCCACCAGCGTCACATGTGACAATATATATATATACTAGCGGCCCGCCCTCGCTTCGCTTCGGTGTAGAGCTGAAGTGTAGACTACAGTTTTTGTTCTCAGGCTTGTATTATACACAATGACATTCATCTATGATTCTTCTTATACCTGCATGCAAAGTCTCAGCCAGATCGGTTTAAAATTGACAAAGTTTCATACAAACTTTCATTCCCTATTTTATCTCCTTGGGGGTAGAATTGATCAAAATCCTTTCTTAGCGGATGCCTACGTCATAACATCTACCTGCATGTCAAATTTCAGCCCGATCCGTCCAGTGGTTTGGGCTGTGCGTGGATAGATCACTATGTTGCCTCAAAAAAAACGAAGTATGTAATCTTTGTTGGTTTATGTTATTGTTGTGAAATCATTTTGAAAAAATAATACTTAAACTATATATCAATGTAATCCATTATTATTATAAATACATCTATGGCGGATTGTTAATTGGCCTATTGTAACCAAGCTAGGGAAGAGCGGTGCATCCAAACACAAGCAATTTCACTGCTTAAGAGGATGTACCATACTCATACATTGTAGTAGGCTAAGTAACTGAAGTAAACTAATTTTGTATTTGTATTTTGTATTTGTTACTTGTAAATAGTACATCACATGCAGAATATATGATTTAATTTGATTATGATAAAAACGGATCAGTAGTTTATTTTTTAATTATCAATAACGTACATATTTGGTGCCAGCAAGGGGTAAACATTAGACTCCTTTTTTTGGCAGTCTTATTAATAGAAACTAGCAAACCAGTGAACCAAATGTTCACCAAAACCTGATTTAAAAAAAAATGTATTTAATTAATTGAGAACTTCGGAGATTTTGTGTGGTTTCGTTTGAAATTCGTGATTTCTCGAAAACCGGAAGTGCTACGTTACTCAAATCCGGTTTGTAGTCTTATCAGACTATTCTTAACTTATAACTTAAATATTCTCTTTATCTATCTCTTACGGTTTGGCCGCTGAAACAGCACCACAGACAGACGGACGGACTTGTCTAATAGATAAGAGAGTAGTATGGTGCAATTCCACGTTATCCTTAACGAGAGATGATAATATTTTGAGAGAGATGGAACAGAGTCAGTTGTCTCTCCTCTCCTGGGTCAACAATGCACATGTGATACTATGTTATCGCAACTGTGTAGACTTTGATGGCCGTTTACCCTCAGGGGTGTTAATACACAAACATAAAACAAAATGAATGCAGGAGTTTGATGGCGCAGTCCTAACATACGGGTAGGGACACGAGAAAACTATCGATACTTTGTGGTATCGAGTACTTTTCCTTTCGATACCGATACTTTTGTACTCGATAATTGGTTTTCGATATTCAACTAAATGAGTACTTTTTGGCAAGTATCGATTACCTTAAAAAAAATTAGGATATTGATAGCAACGCCATCTAGTGGAATCATAGCTATCCTTCTAAAACATTCCATTGCGTTGATATAATTGGAAGCACAAGCAATCTAGTGTGTCCTGAGACTTACGTACTTGAATTACCCACGTTTAGTTTTGCAGTTGATTATATTAACATTACACATTTTTAAGAGTATCTACATAATATAGAAATTTGTGAACTTACATGTCCTTTTTTGTTTTTGATTATTCGTACTATAATAAAATTTGATTGATTTTCTTTTAATTTTAACCCGGGGAGAGCGAGGGGGCGGGGTGATGCTCATATGGCCTTATGAAATGTACTCGATACTTCGAAGTATCGATACTTTTGTTTCAATACTTTTACGAGTACGATACTTTTTTTCCGATACTACTCATGAGTACAGTATCGATACTTTCTGTTCGATATCGTGTCCCTAGATACGAGTTGCTTTCACCTCAATATCCGCGCGGCAGAAACACATCTTAACTCCAGTTTAACTTTAGATATTACTGTGTATATTAGTTTGATATAAGTTATTGTACTCACTTTTGAGGAGCTCAATGGCGCGGGTGAAAAGCTTGTTCGGCTGCGATCGTTGAAGTTAAACAAATTTCGCAGTGGTCGGTCTATGAATGGGTGACCAAAAATCTTCTATCTCGAATTCCTCTCGAAGCCGTTGGTCCCGGCTGCATCTGCAGTCGTCAGCACCCGCCAATCCGCACTGGGCGTGGTAGGTCATAGCCCAATCTGCTTACTCCATCCCTAGAGAAGGTCTGTGCCCCAGCAGTGGGGACATTAATAGGTTCATGAGATGACGATGAAAAAAATGAGTATAAACCTGCAGGCGGCAAGTTCTTCAAATCCAAGCCGGTGGGATTGTAGATCTCTCCAGTTGTATTGCAAATGTCCTTGACATGATTTGCGTCTATCAGCTTAGGTGGCAGTTGCCTGACGGCGTACTGGAGGGTGGAGCTGACGAAGCGAAGGTTGGCCTCGTAGTCCTGGTCGGACGAACCCAGGGCGAAGGTTGCCCAGGTGGGATCGTAAGGGGACCGCTGGGTGAAGTCCACCGCCCCCTTGATACCGTCCATGTTAATTAAGACCCTGTAAAAAGTAAAATCTATGTTGGTATCATAATCATCCTTAATAGAATAATTTAAACAAAAAATATACTATAACAATGAACCTAAAACTAAATATATATAAAACTAAAATACATTATTAAAAGGAGTCCCTTTAGGCAAGGTTCCGAAGATACTGGCAGCGTTCCCCCTTTGGATAGCTAGACTAATTCTTTGTCCGAGGTAGCTGACAGCTCTTCGGTCTCCTGTGATGTCGACTAATCATTTTGCTATTTCTTTAAAAAGCCTTATAGCGCTAGGACCCCACGGACCAAGGGTCTCGACACCGAATGGGACAAAATCATATTCGGAGCCTAGACCCCTGTATTTGCTTGCCTTAGCTTTTTCAGCCGCTTCATAAGCCGCACCAGCTCTGTTGTTGGTAAATATAAAATGATAAATGTCAACGCATCGTTTAAGGTAAAAAACAGAACAAAATATCCTATTGTGATTTGTGTTAAGCTTTCGACATGAATGAAGAAAGGTGATTGTAGAATTAAATTAGGAAATCTTTATGTAGTTGCGTTCTCCTTTCATATTCACTACACTATCTAAGACAATAATGGGTTGATGTTCTTTTAACCAAATATAACCACAATCGCCAGTAACATAACATGGTATAGACCTACTACTGCAACAGTACATATTTTTTTAATAGCATCTTTGAAATTTGAAACTTTAAATTGTGTTGTAATAGGTATGCAAGCACAAGTAGGAGAAATCAAGCCAACTGCATAATATTCGTCATTAGACACTTACTTTATCATTAAGTTACATACTTTGTACTCTTCGGCTCCATCGTTCTCAACTTGGCGCACGCCAGGAAGCTTTCCGGGTGTCTGTTGTCGAATATCACAACGTACAGACTTCTCTTCGTCACTTCCATATCACCTCTCAAGATGTTCAACACGTCATCCTTGAACAGAGTCTTCATCTTCTTAACGTTAGCATCAGTCGCCACTTTGATCAAACCCAAACGACTGTCCAGGTCTCCTACGCTCATGCCGTCCCCATCATTCTGCGGGTCAAATACTAATTGAAGTACATTGCAATCATCTTCATGATTACCTTTATCGGCATCAAATATATCGGTAACAAATAATTTCCATTTGTGCTTCGTGTATTCCACTTTATCAGCTACAGCTTTGGTGTGGTACAAATCAGATTGGACATAGGAATCTGATTCGTCGAATTCTTTGGCCGACAACCATCTGAAGTGCAGTGTACCAGCTACCGGAGAGTGAAATCTGGCTACAGCATGTTTCTCGTACAACTTATCAGTTGACAGAATGGAAGCGCATATCACTCTATCTCTTTCAGCAGTTTCTAGAACAATGCTCTTTCCCCAAAGGCCTGTGGGCCCTGTCAAAGAGTTTCTACTTTCGAATTCCGCGTGGTCTTTCCCAGGGATTATCAGGTATCCCAGCTCCTCAGTCAGATCGATCAACTCTCTACCAACGTTCGATTCTGAGCATCTGGAATCCGATAATTCCCGATAATCCACCGGGAACTCATGTATGGTCCACCTCCAGACTCCGTCAGGGTATTGCAGAGTGGGTTTGAGATTGGTCCTGATGCTGATGAGCGTCTCATTCTTGGTAGAGAACTCGATTTCTCCGTGTAGACCATGCTGCGAGATGTACGCCCGCAGCACTAGGGCAGTTGAGAATTCTGTCAAATAAATTTATTTTTGTGATATTGATCATATTATATAATAAATAAATAAATAAATATATATATTTCCAACACTCACACCAATTAGCCTAGCCCCAAAGTAAGCCCTGTAAGCTTGTGTTATGGGATGCTAGGGTAACGGATAGAATACATATACTATACACATATAGGTATATTTATATAGAAATATATATTAAACATCCATGACTGGAGTACAAATGCTCGTATTCATCACACTAACATCTGCCCCCATCGGGATTCGAATCCGGGACCTCTCGAGTCGGCGACACCATTAAACCCGGCGTACAAACCACTCGGCCACGGAGGTCAAGTATTGACAGTATATTGTTTTTTGAATTTTTTTGGCTATTGATTAAACAATACGGCGTAAGAATTAGTTAAGCTCAAAAAATCAGAAAGTTTAAAATAAATCTTATCTATATAGCAGTTAAATGCTTTAAATGAAAATATTAAAGATCAAAATAGGTACATAATTCCATTATATGTAATTGAATTTCGGGGTAATTTGTAGGGGAGGGGAAGGGGGGGGGCGACCCCCCCTCCATAAAAGATTTTTGGCGGAAATGCAGTTTTTTTTTACCTAACCTAAAAATTCATTAAATCTGTTAAATGTAGTGGAATTTCAGGGGGATAGGTATTAGGGAAGACCCCTCAGAGGGAAGGGTAGTCCCCCCCCCTCCCGGCGTTTTTTTTGAATATCAATTTCCAGTAATTTTTTTCTCGAGTCCTATTCGTTTCTGCCTAAAAAGATTTCGTGTACGTGTTTTTAATAGTTAATACTTTGCGTGACAAAAATTTCAGCTTGAAACTCAATTACATATAATGGAAAGCTGAGCCTCAAAATATTTGACTGCAATTCAACCAACTATATATAAAGGATTTATGAGTTTCAACGGTATTTTAATAAGCTGATCGACATTTATTTTAATTCACCATTAACTTTTTATAAACGAGAAATCAAAAACCACTCTACATACTTCATTAATATACTTAACAAAATCTTAACAACACATCTTCTACGTAGGTACTTTTTCTTATTATTGTGTAATAGGCTTGTTGAAAATATATCGATATATCGATATTTTTTGTTCGATATATCGATATTTTTTGCCGATATATTTTGATTCGATATATCGATACATCGATACAAAATAACCAATATCGAAATTCGTATCAAAAACGATATTTTTTTAATTAGTAGCGGCATATCACGATCTAACTAAATTCGTATCTGGAAAAATCGTAACTGGATCTCAGATTAATGATATTCAACATATCTATGATCTGTGCTGTATTTAGTATTGTCTATGTCATCATTCGAAAATAGGGTCTATTTTTAAGGAGATAATTTTCGTTCCATTATTATTCCGCGTGTCATATTTCGTGAGCTACTGTACGATATTATTGGGAAAATTGGTCCGATATATCGATATATCGATGTTTTTTTCGCGATATATCGAAGCAGATATTAATATTTTTTAAAATATCGATATTTTTTTCAACTTTCGACATCCCTATTGTGTAAGCACAATAGAAGTCGTAACTTATACTTAACGTGCCATACCTAATATTAGTCATTAACACTTTCATTACCAAGGTAATTCGAAGGTATCTCAAATCCGGGGTATATTTTTACTTAGGTATGTCACTATAGTATAATATAACGACTATGTTGTTAAGTTACTAATGAAGTTAAATAATCTAAATTATGCCTATTACAACATAATTGTTACCATCGGGTTTGAAAAACAAATCACAATTTCCTATACAAATTCACATTAAAAATCTTATATTTCTAAGTTAGGTAGTTCAAAACTTTTAACTCACCGCTAAGTAACAACAACACATAACTTAAACACGATAGCTTTGGTATCACATGATTAGCACAGTACACCATCTTTCAACGATAACTAAGTAAGTACTAATATTTTTTGTGTCTAAAATACTTTTATTGTAAGTTCATTCTAAGTGATTGGATATCACATTGTGAGTTTCACTGACTACGGTTCACGGTTAAGTGAAAGGCAGTAACTTGAAGAGCGAGACATCTACGTGCGATAGGGACAACCTACGTGACGTAAACACCGAGTTGTAACCGGTTGGAATGGTACTTGCTTCATTCTTTTGCAGAACTTATCACTACATAGTATAAAACAAAGTCGCTTTCTCTGTCCCTAAGTCCCTTTGTATGCTTAAATCTTTGAAACTACGCAACGGATTTTGATGCGGTTTTTTTTAATAGATAGAGTGATTCAAGAGGAAGGTTTATATGTATAATACATGCATAATATAGTAGAGAAACACTGATAATTTTAGAGGTTTTTAATATAAGGTCGTAAATAAACACATTTTTTTGCGCTTACATTGCAAACGCTGGCTGAACACAACGAGATAGATCAAAATAATGTACTACAGTATTGTACACCTTAAAAAGGTCTACAAAAAAGTCCCCGATGGTATATGCCTATCTTTTTGGTATAACGCACAATAACCATTTTTTAATTACTTATTACGAGAAAATAATGGCTTATTTACGGCTTAATTATGGCTCTTAAGCGCGTAGCAAAACTAATCTATTTAAATTGAGTGAGTAGATAATGCGAATTTGTAAACAAAAATACTCGTAGGTACAACGCTAATAATACACCTTCACGTGTTTAACATCATACTTAAGTATATGTTTAGTAACTGCAAATCCTATACTTTATGTGTTGCCCTATGAATCTCCAACCAACCAAAACTTACCTATTAATATACACAAGTAAAATAGTATGTAAGATATTGGGGAAAAAAAAATGTAATTAGATTAAGAAATATGTAAAGTAACAGAATATAAGAAATCATTGTAAGAAGTATAAAAAAAAAAGACACGAGTGCAAAAGATCAAGCACGAAAATACATAAAATACATGCAAAAAAGCAAGCATGATATAAAATATATATATCTTTATATATATAATTCTTCTGTGAGTGTGTATGTCACTGAACTTCTCTTAAACGACTGGACCGATTTTGATGAAATTTTTTGTGTGTGTTCAAGGGGATCTGAGAATGGTTTAGATTCACAATTTTGTCCGCTGGACAACCCCTATTTTTTTAGGGCGGTACGAAGTTCGCTGGGTCAGCTAGTATATATATAAAAATGAAACCCGTTTTCCGTTGTCACGACATAACATGAAAACGGCTTGACCGATTTGGCTGATTTTTTAACCGCGCTAAAAATATAGGTACTCATACATAAGATAGGTCAGCTATACAAAATAAAGTAGTGCATCAAAGCTACGCTAAGGCGGTACGAAGTTCGCCGGGTCAGCTAGTATATATATATCTTTATATATATAATTCTTCTGTGAGTGTGTATGTCACTGAACTTCTCTTAAACGACTGGACCGATTTTGATGTAATTTTTTGTGTGTGTTCAAGGGGATCTGGGAATGGTTTAGATTCACAATTTTGTCCGCTGGACAACCCCTATTTTTTTAGGGCGGTACGAAGTTCGCTAGGCCAGCTAGTATATATATAAAACAGCAGCAAATAAAAGACAAAAGCTGAAAAAAGATCTGATACAAATCGGGGATACTCGTTAAAATAAAAAAAAAACAATAAAACTTACACAAATCAAATGATTGGCTAATGAAAGATGTCGAAGACCAATCATTTATCTATTCACTCATTTTCAATTCAATTCACTCATTTATTTGCATCACAAATTAATACAATTAATACATGTTTGCTGCAAATAGTTTCATTTCTAGAGCATGTCACAGCTATAATAAATACTTCAGGGGATTGGATATATTTTGCCTTTCTTACAACCAATTTAGAAATGAATGCTATAAGGTCGTTTTACCCTAACACTTAGTAATTATTTTCTTTTATTCACACACATCTAAATATTGTACGTAATCTTAAGTAAATTATGTAAGTTTATGAATGTTTCAGTCTGTGGAAACTTAACTGGTTTATGAAATAGTAATAAGTGTTACTTAATTGATTTGTGTAAAACTGTATGTTTCCCAAATGAAAATAAATAAATAAAATAAATGTTCACTGCAGACATAGATGATTATAAGTTCTTAAATATCAAGTCTAAACTACAGTCATTAGTAAGTGACATGCATGCAAATAGGCAAAAGCTCAGCAGTGTTTTTGCCTTAATAGGCGAAATGCTGATTTTCAGCAACTGCCCGTAGGAAGCGCGAGGATGTAGGTACGCTACAAAGCTGGCATTGTACTGCCCTAGTCCCACATAGAAATACCCACATTAGTTATTCATTATAAATGTAAATAGCAATACCTGTTAATAAATTCTGTAAATATTAATAAATAAATATATGTAAATAATTATTAAAAAAAGAACAAAATTGTGTAGACAATAATAAATAAATGTGTGTTATTAATAATAATATGAACTATAAATTTTAATTTAAATGTCAAAAAGATTGAATACTGACCGAAGAACCTCCACCAAAACGACAATTAGTGAGTATGCCTAAACTTTGCAAATTTAGTAAGTCTAATTTAACTTGCTTTTTGAAAGTATGCCTTGATATTATGTGTCTTATAGGAGGAGGTAAAACATTCCAACACTTAGTCGCTTGGTGGCGGAAACTGTCCGTAAATGCCACTGTCTAATGTTTTTGAGTCGCCAATGGTGTCGATTCTAGCATGATTCTCTAAACCTAAACTTAAATTTGACAGCAGTATATCCTTGTCATTCTCAATACAGAATGAAAAGGAGGGACTGATGTTAAATTTAGATTTAAGTTTAGAGAATCACGCCAGAATTGGCACCAATATCGGATGTATTGATCTGCAAACACCTGGGGGCCATTCGCCTAACGGAAATGCTATGGAAAACGCTAACGCTTTCGATTTTATTTTGTTATTACTGGCCGCCGAAGGTTTTCAAATACCTCACGTTCATTTTTTTTAATATTGTTATTACCAATGCAAAAGAAAAAACAAGAGCGCGAGGCATTTGAAAACCTCACGCGGCTAGAAATAACAAAATGATATCGTAAACGTTAGCGTTTTCTTAAGCATTTCTGTTAGGCGAATGGCCCCCTGGTCCATATCGAGAATGGAAGTTACGAAACTGTAACTTTTTGTAAAGGTATTCCGGGTTCTTAAACTTTAACAGATCAGACATATCTAAGCTTTCGCGTTTCCGAAACCATTTTGATCTCTTTGTATCTAGTTTTACGAGTTGTCCAGAATTCATTTATCTATTCCGAATTACCTACACGTGGTAATCATCTGGCTCATTTCCGAGTAAAAGATAAGATTGTCCTTATTACTAATATATCTTCTCTTTCCTAAACATGAAACGAAAAGGAGTGCCAGAAGCGGGAAATTTACACAATGTAGTCCCAGCTCAATCAGAAAATTTATATTGGGCGGATATCATTACTGACACGGAACAGGACATTAATTTAAATTGATGGTGATTCAAGAGTGCTGTTTGGGATATGATTGTCGGTTTCAGGCTTTTTTCAAATAAACTGAAACGAGTCCAGTAGGCCGTGATCACGTCCATAATCCAGAAACTGTCATTTTCGGCTACGTCGACGTCACGTCACCGCCCCCGCGATGTGCGCGCGCGCCGCAATCTATTCCTGTCCTGTGAACGTTGACTCACGCGCACTCAAATAACCCCATTGTAATCCACACCTTTGACGTGTCTAGTCTAATTAATTATTTATTTATGGAAATACCAACTGGAGGTTACAATTCTGAACTGGCAGATGAAGTAAATCGTGGTTTTGCTCCAGTTGTAGAGATGGGCGTTTTTAGATATTTTTGAAATCGATGCGCATCGGTATCAGATATTTGGCATCGGATGCCGGAATGTCGATATCTTGTATCACATATATCGGATACGATGCAATATGAATTTCTACAGATGCGTGTTTTGTGTGGGTCTGTCTCTTCGATTCCTTGAATCAGGACTTGAAAATGTAATCGAAAACCATTTATTTACTTTTCGGTATGTTATCTGGAAAGATTGAACGCTGGCAAAGTTATTACATAAAAAAATTCACTCAGAGCGTAGGTTTTGAACGCAGGTAGGATGCCAGGTTTGGATGCGCGCATCCGATACGACTGGATGCCGTTATTGGATGACGATGCCATCTAGTTTGTGTCATCGTTACTATAGCAACAGTGCCACAAACTTTTCTGTGCCGTTGGCAAAAATTTGAACTACAATTTATCCGTAGCATTTTGACATTTTTATGACATATTTGTTCACCGCTGGAGACATCTCCACCGGCACAGATAAGTTTGTGGCACTGTTGCTATGGTAACGTTGACAAAAACTAGATGGCATCGGCATCCAATAACGGCATCCAGTCGCATCGGATGCGCGCATCCGAACCTGGCATCGTTATTGCGCATCGTTATTCTAAAAACGGCCATCCCTATCCAGTTGGTAAACTTCCGTGAAGATACGTTAATGTTTGTCAAACGCCATGAATATTGCACAGATATAAAATGTAAGTAATCTAAAGAGCAATCGAAGGCGATGGTAATCTGCCACTCATAAAGCCCGTGACAGACGTAGCTATAATATATATTAATATATCGAGATATTATATTAAACAAACCACCACAGACAGGAGCTGTACTATAATATATATTTTGGCAGGCGTTCGGTGAAAAATGGAACATTCCGTATCATAAAAATATATCAAAATATACATTAATATGGCAAAATATACACTAATATGCCAAAATATATCTGTCAACATATTTTGGTGACGTCATAGAAATATATATTATAGCTGCGTGTGCGGTCACTCGAAAATTTATATTGAAAATATGTTGTAATATGTCTTGCTATGATTCATATTAATATATATTATAGCTACGTCTGTGACGGACTTAATTACGGACATCTTAGACCCAACAAATGCTAATTGCGACGTTGCCATGGAATTAATACATTTGCTTATTCTCACGCCTAACTTTACGTGCAAATACAGGGGTCTAGGCTCCGAATATGATTTTGTCCCATTCGGGGTCGAGACCCTTGGTCTGGTGGCTATAAGGTTTTTTAAGGAAATATCAAAAAGGTTAGTCGACATCATTGGAGACCGAAGAGCTGGCAGCTATCTCAGACAAAGAATTAGTTTAGCTATTCAAAAGGGGAACGCTGCCAGTATCTTCGGATCCTTGCCTAAAGGGACACCTTTTAATAATATACTAGCAAACCAGTGAACCAAACGTTCACCAAAACCTGATTTAAAAAAAAAATGTATTTAATTAATTGAGAACTTCGGAGATTTTGTGTGGTTTCGTTTGAAATTCGTGATTTCTCGAAAACCGGAAGTGCTACGTTACTCAAATCCGGTTTGTAGTCTTATCAGACTATTCTTAACTTATAACTTAAACATTCTCTTTATCTATCTCTTACGGTTTGGCCGCTGAAACAGCACCACAGACAGACGGACGGACGGACGGACTTGTCTAATAGATAAGAGATTTTAGTTATTATATTATATTTTTAAGGTTTTTAGTTTTAGGTTCATTGTTCCTGTATATATTATTATTGTAAATAACATTTGTGTAATAAACTTAACGTTAAAAATTACATCGTTCATTAATAATGAAAACCGAAAAAAACCGCTGTATGCCTTCACCGACTCCACCATGCTCTATGGCTTAATAGGAAGTATCAAAGGACATCGACGAAATCGGCCCTAGCATGCCCAAAAGAATGTCCTTCACTATTATTTTTATATTATTTTTTTAACTTATTAGCAATTAATCATTGTAAACGGACAATCTGTTTAAGAAAATAAAAAATAAAAGTTCTGTTACTAGATACTACAGTCTGTTCATCCAACTTGGCACTCCTTTTTATTGAAAATACAGCATTAAAAATCAACTGATAACTAGATTCAATAGGTTTCAGTCTTTAATAACGATTTATTTTAATAGTTTATTGGCTTCGTTAATATTTTATTATTAAACGGGTGATTCTGTTAAAAAGTTGTGTCAAGATTGTTTACCTTAATGAATGCAATATAGGCGACCATAGGTATTTATCAACATAAAAATAGAACTAGGTACCTTAGTCAATAATAGTTATTACTAGTATTTATATTATATTTATAAAAAGATTATTTCTGAAATTATGTAAATATGGTTTGTACTCCCATCCCATGTAATATCTGTTTATTTTTATGAAAATCATATTGATAACCAGGTACATACCTAATTACCGATAGTAAAATATAGAAACAGGTAAATGGCAAGACTGAACATTTCATTTGAAAAGAAATCTATTATTACCTACTACAGGTGCCAACTGACAACACTCATAAATCAATATGAATATAAGCATTTATTATTTTTATTATTAATTGCATTTTATGTTCATTTAATGCATATTAGTTCAGTGCTTACATAGAGGTAAAAACTAAATCTAATAGAATATATAAAGTGTACATCTTTTATGATTAAGTATAATAATTATAACCTCAAAATCTAATACATTCTGTAGTAGGCCACGGTTCCTCAAGTTGTCCGTATCTCAACAAATGCTTAATTAGAGTTTATGAATGATTCCGAACACAACTAGCATTTTCTCATTGCTGGGCGTTATAGGGCATTCAATGTATGGGGAACGAGCAATGTCCTTTACAGACAGACGCCGAAAACACTAACTAATTTTATTATAGTTATGTTTTTTTATTTTTTAAGCATGGAAACTGCTGGGTGTTTAAATCTAAAGAAAAGTTTACTCGTAAAAATTCCATGGTGTTTGAATACCGTCTGCTGCCTGTACCCTTAGTACGAGTTTTATAATTACGAAAACTATGATAGTTTTCGTGAGCTCAAACTTGTACTAAGGTTGGTCCGCGTGGATTTTTTCTATTAAACTTTTCTTTAGATTTAAACATCCAGCACTATTTAACCGCTTAAATATAAAAAACATAACTATAATTGCTATTTCTTCTTTCAAATGTTTAATACTTGTAAAGGTATTCATTTGACATTGTGAGTTGCCTACAGTGCAAAGAGATGACGCTGCCTTGCAGCCTAAGGCAAGAGAAAATTCGACACGGCCGTCAGGACCGCGGTAGCATAATGGTCAGTGCATTCGCCGGATAGCAAAGGCCGCGGGTTCAAGTCCCGTCTGCACCTGGTCCACGTGGATTTTTTTCTAGTAAACTTTTCTTTAGATTTAATTTTATTATACTTTGTTTAGATATAGAATCCTCTTTGTTGCTTCTCTGAAGATATTCTGTCCAACAGTCCATGTGCTTGGGACGGTAGCTTTCATTATAGTATAGGAGCCCAAGCGAAGATTTTGCGATTTACTCGAGCACGACAGAATAACAAAAGTGGGACAAGCTTACATCTTGAGAATCTTCCACCATACCTGTTTTTAATTTTATTTGTGTCTGGAAAATTCATTTTGTAACCCTTGCACACCGGGAAGCATGCATGAAAGGGCTCCTCTGAGCCTTTTATGTAGGGCCAAACGGTTAGGACAGCAAAACAAAAATTTCTATAAGCGGCTATGACTTTTGGTCTGTGTTTTGAGGAGCTCGATTTCGCAGGTGGTTAGCGCGTTCGGCTGCGATCGTTGAGCTTCAGCAACTTTCGCAGTGGTCAATCATTGGATGGGTGACCAAAAATCTCGAGTACCTCCGTGCTTCGGATGGTGCGTTAAGCCGTTAGTCGCGGCTGCATCTGCAGTCGTTAGCACCCGCCAACCCGTACTGGGCCCGCGTGATGGGTCATGGCCCAATCTGCCTATTCCATCCATAGGGAAAGCCTGTGCCCCAGCAGTGGGGACATTAATAGGCTGATGATGATGATGATTGAAGAAGCTACTGGAGGATTCACGTCATATTTCTGATGACGGAAAAATATTAATCTGGCGGTTTGCACCGTGTGGGGGTTATTCTGCCGCGCTCGAGTAAATCCATAAAATCTCCGCTTGGGGTCCCCTACTATTAGTCAAAGTCTTTGGGTGTTCATTAAAACTAAATAATCATCTGAATAATTAATAATCCCAATGTGTTTATGTTATTTTAATTGCTTACGCCAAAATCGCATGGACTGTTTCGAAAAATTTGTTTGACAGTTTTAGTGAAATATTCAAAGCTGATTATTTGTAGTGACCTAACTTCAATAATCTAATTGTTCTAAGAGTCTATAATCTAAGAGATTGAGTGATCCTGATAGTTCACAAGCTTTATATTTTTTTTTGAAGACGTTCATTACGTTTTATATGGATAGCGTAACGCGGAGAGAATACTTGACTCGCGTATTCAAATACGCTCCTCACATATGCATAGTATAATACTTTATAACTGACTAGCGCCCCGCCCTCGCTTCGCTTCGGTGTAGAGCTGAAGTGTATTATACACAATAACATTCATCTATGATTCTTCTTATACCTGCATGCAAAGTCTCAGCCCGATCGGTTTAAAATTGACAAAGTTTCATACAAACTTCCATTCCCTATTTTCTCCCCTTGGAGGTAGAATTGATCAAAATCCTTTCTTAGCGGATACCTACGTCATAACATCTACCTGCATGCCAAATTTCAGCCCGATCTGTCCAGTGGTTTAGGCTGTGCGTTGATAGATCACTATGTCAGTCAGTCACCTTTGAGTTTTATATATATAGATTTGCATTTGTAAGGCTTAAGTGTTCTGCGTCTGTTTTAAAGTAAGTCACAGTCGGCGACAGAATGTACCGGCAGGAATATTTATAACATCAGCGTATATCAGGTTACCAACAAAGGATAGACAGGCAGCGATATTGGAGATGTACGCATTATGGAAGAGAGGTCCAAGATGAGTGCCTTGAGGAATCCCTGAGGGCACGGTTATATAGTATGATTTCAATCCTCCCAGAACAACCGCCTGAAATCTCTAAGGTTGGTAGACTTTCACTGAATGATTGTGAAAGTTATGCGCTAGCGCATTATTTCTATATTTTTGCTTCCCTCCCAGTCCAGCATTTGAGCTATCTCAAATGTAATGTAACTTTTGTATCTCGTCTCGGGGCTGCGTGCTTGTGGTGTGTAATCTTCATTGTCGAAGAAAAAATTAAGTCTTTTCTTTTATTAACACTTGAATAGATATTGTTTTATGGTATGCTTTTTATTTCAAGGTGTAAAGATTTCTCTGTGCAATTCTCATTTCTTGGTTTCTTATAATTTAACAACAGTGAATTCATTTAAAATAAGTCAAGAGTATAAGTTTCAGAACTTATCTAAATCAGCATTTTCTTTTTGTATGCCATTGTTTTTGCGATGAGACAACGCACTAATGTTGTAGGATGTAACTTGGCTATCACTAAGAAGGATATGGTCAAGGGAGTGGTTAGCGGGAGCTAACTAGAGTGTATTGGTGTGTAATGATAGAATTCATGTATACAAAACGCCCACAGAGGCATGTTTAAGTATATTCAGACTTTTTTATAAAACTTTATTTGAAAATTATAATTTTAGAATACATAGTATTCCTTTTGGGATGTTACTCGGCTTGGGCGAACGATTTACCGCTGTTGTTAAGGATAGTGCTACACTCATCAATTGAATAGTAGAACTATATTTGCATTATAATAAAATTATAAATTAAAAATGGAAACAATAAATTACATATTATTATGAGATAGTATAAAATAAAAAAGTTGTTCGGTTCACAGGTTACGGATGTTTAATGCGGAACCGTTGGGCCGAGCGCGAGTGCTGTCTCTCAGGCGACGCCTGGTGGATTACGCCGCTTCTCCGCCTTCCTCCTCCTCGGCGCTGGCTGTGAGCATGGTGATCAGCTTGGTGGTGTCAATGAAGCCTTTGTCGTCGATGTCCATCTGGTCGTAGGCCTCGTCGACCTCGTCAGCGGAGAACTTGTCGCCCCAGGTCATGAGCGCATGCCGGAGACGCTCGGAGTCGATCTTGCCCTCCTCGTCGAAGGTCTTGAAGGCGTTGATGACGACGTCGTCCTCGTCGGAGCCGCCGGACATGCGGTTGGCGAAGAGGGTTAGGAGCTGGGTGAAGTTGATGGGGCCGGAAGCCTCGTTCACCATCTCGTCGAGCTCCTTCTCGGCGGCGAGCCTGCCGAGCGAGTCGAACGTGGCGCGGAGGTCGTTCTTGCCGATGATGCCGTCCTTGTCGTGGTCCATTAGCTGGAACGCCTGGAGACAAAAGTTAAATCTTAAATTCATGTTGGATCACTTTTAAATTTCTTACGGAAGCAGAGCTAAAGTACTCAAGAACTAGGGAAAGAATAAAACAGAGGTTGTGCTAGAGCCGGTTAAATAAGATTATTTTTACATTGAATCAAGCTGCACAGAAACCTAACCTTGGAGGTGGCGGCATCGCCAAGTCCAGCGCACTTCCAGCTACGGGTTGCTACGTCTTGTTTGTAAGAAAAAAATATAAAATTCCTCTTTCGTAGATGGTTACGAAAAACGGTTTAAAACATGGACTAAAGATATAATTGTAAGTATAAATTTGGTAGCATTGATTGACGGATTCAGTTTAGAGTCTTTTCATGATTTGTTTATTTGCTGATGAGTATCATATTTATTGAATGTTCGATTCTTTACCGTCTCGAAAGAGAATTGGCTTAAAATAATGTATGGCGTCAAGCCAAAAAAAAGAGATATACTTTAATAATAGTCTGCAAAATTCGAAAACTTATTAGTAATTTATCCCTAAAGATATCTTATGTAGTATCATTTAATTCAGGGAAAATATTAAGAAGATAGCTCTTGATTCTTAGTAATGGAATGATGTCACCGTAGCCAGATCTGGAAAATGCAGGCATCCGAGATAGCTGCCATAAACGATGCGTTATTTACAAACAATCTATGCGCACGAGCTGCCTCTGTCGCGTTTGGAAGTGACGCAGTTACAATGGGCCAAGTTCATTATTAAACTTGTTGAGATTGAGATGCAGAATAAATACGTCGTTTTTAATAAAAAATAAACTGTCGATATAATAGGCTGACTGTGTAGATACTAGTGATGTAACGAATATTCGCATTCGCATTCGCATTGGCGGATATTCGCATATTTTTGCATATTCGCATTTACATTCGCATTGACATTCACATTCGCAAAATCACTGCGAATGTTTCGCTAATATGAATATTATAAAAAAACAATTTCAAGATAATAGTATGTTCATAAAATCAGAATTCATTCATTGCTTATGTTTCTTAATGAGGAAAAATTAACTTAACCTCGTAATCACATTATTAGTCTCGATTTTAGCATTTGGCATTATTTATTAATTTTCTTTACTTTGGGCAATGAAGCTTAACAATAAAATTTAACTTAAAAACAAATTTTTTTACATCTTCCTTGAAAAAACTTAAAAAATTCATTGCCTTCAAATCATTTCTCATAGCAGTTGTAGTTCTTCCTTCCCTTGAATATTAATTGTTACACAGCTTGCATTTAGCTCGTTCAGCATCGCAAAGTGTGAAACAAGTCCATATTTCACTAGAATTTGATTTACTCATGAGTATTAAATTTCACTTGTTTTATTTACGAAAAGACCACCATGCCATAGATAATTGACGCCAATTTTGAACAAAAACTAAATATTCGCATTAGTATTCGCATAATGTCGGTACCAGATATTCGCAGCCGCATTCGCATTCGCGAATATTCAAAAAAATGATATTCGTTACATCACTAATAGATACACAAACTTATCCTAAAAGTACCACATTTCTTGGATAACGTGTGATTTATTTTGGTTTACTTAAAAATTAGGAACCATCGGCTATCCTAAATTCTAGAGTGAAAGAGGAAGATTCCCCAGCAATTATGCCATCAAAACTTTCGGGATATTCACACATTTTGTGCATGTCACTTGGACTTTCCTCTGCTTACGATTCTTCAATACTCAATGATGTCGATTCTGTCATGATTCTCTAAAGCTAAACTTAAATTTGACAACAGTATATCTTTGTCATTCTCTTTACAGAATGAAAAGGACAGACTGATGTTAAATTTAGTTTTAAGTTTAGAGAATCCTGCCAGAATCGACACCAATATCTTTATTGTTTCTTGTAGTTTTTTGGCATCTCCAAGCTTACCTCTTTGAACTCAGCGACCTGCTTCTGTGAGAACATGGAGAAGACGTTGGAACCGGTGCGCTTGGCCTTGCGGCTGCCGCGCGAGCTTTGGCGCTCGCTGCCACCGGTGGACGCGGGCGCGGCTGGGGCCGGAGCCTCTTCTGCTGGTGCATCTTCCTTCGCCTTCTTCTTCTTTATTTTCTTGTCCTTATCCGCCTAGAATAAACAAATAGAAATTAGAAGACATCAAAGCCTACTCGCATCCGGTCCTAAAGTACTCCGGTCCTAAAGTAACTGAACCACTTGACTTGTTAAAGTCGAGAACAATCGTGGAACTCAGTGAAGAATTTTATTGAACAGGAATGGAATCTGGAACTTCAGAAGTGGTACAGTATGAAAATCGGTGAGCCACCGCAGGAGGTCGTAAAATTATTAAAGCGACCAAATTTTTCTTTTTGAACGTTAAAGAAGATCAGCGACGATGATGAAAGAGACTTTGTTTCATACTTTTTATCCTTTTTGTATTATTTGCTTTTAGTTAAATCGCTCAGTTGCAAAAATTACAATGTCTTTAGTTGAACAGTACATTTAAAAGCACTGAAATTAATAGTAAGGTAATCTGGAAAGAAATATCCCGAATCCGTTCTAATTTTGGTAAACGTTAAGTTAAATTATTAGTTCTTACATCAGCATTATCATCAGCCAATGATAGTATAATGGTTACTAATCATTTATTGATTTTCGATATATTGTTCAATTATTGTAAACTACAAATCATAATCTAATTTAAACATAGATCTGAATCACTATACTGTCCGATTAAGGTGGTGCGGTGCGCGAGCGCTTCTATATTTAGATCACAATCCGGCATCCGTTTTCAGTCGTTCCAAACGTTACGTCAAATTGTTAAAAATACTTTATCGCGCGCTCTAATTTCAGATGTAGTTATGCACTGTATAGGCAACTAGTGATTTGTATCAAGTTTCATTTGTTGAATTTCCTTTAGTTTTTGTTTTGTCTAAATTTTCATAGAGAGGTTTTTGTTATAATTGTTTCTAAAATATCACGAACTGATACTTAAACAAATTATGAAATACGCGTGCTTCATATAACACGTTCAATTAATCTCAAACTTTCTTAAAATTTTCTAGTTTTGTAGTCTACATCAATCGTTTGATTGCATAATATTTATATTAATCCACTCTGTTGTTCTTTATTTTATCGAAACTCTATAATTCTTCACTAGATATTTTTTAATGAGTTTAATTTATTCAATCACCGATTCATCTCTTATCTATTAGACAAGTCCGTCTGTCTGTGGTGCTGTTTCAGCGGCCAAACCGTAAGAGATAGATAAAGAGAATATTTAAGTTATAAGTTAAGAATAGTCTGATAAGACTACAAACCGGATTTGAGTAACGTAGCACTTCCGGTTTTCGAGAAATCAGGTTTTGGTGAACATTTGGTTCACTGGTTTGCTAGTTAACTCTAATTTCAAACTCTGCATAATTTTATTATTTTTCTCGACACAACACTTCTTCTGACTATTATCAAGCGATTGATTAAGCGTTACGATTTAACTTTCAGATCCGATTGAATTTTATCACCGACATAATAGATTTTATAACGTTTCGCCGTTGGTTTCGGAGCAGCGGTTGCTTCGAGTTCCGTTTCTACTTAATTCTTTACATCTCTTTCACTTTACTTAAAGTCCACCGTTTCATAATCGTTACGAACTCCTTCACCACAATTCACGTCACTTCACTTCACTCCACTTACCATTGTGTTGTGTTTTGGACGACCGACGAAGGAGAGACCGTGCTACTCGGCTGTCCCACCCTGACTCCGAATAATCAGCCGTTCCCCGAGATCCAGGAGAGTTCTCCTCCCTCCCCTTTTTATGCGATGCGCACGATTCCATATTTAGTTCGTGGAATGAAAACTGGGATTTGGTGTTGGGAATTAGAACGGTGTTGCTCGCTGGCCGGGCCGCCGGCGCCGGTCGACAATTACGAAAATAATCCCACCTGGACCGATTCGGACTGAGCCTCAGCTTTCAGCAATCGATTTCCGATTGTATTTAGATGATGTATTTTGGCAGTTGGACCACTAACTGAATGTTCTGAATTAATTTCGCACGGAAGATTGTATAGTGTATTTGCAATTAAATAGTAATGTTTGTCTAGTTGTTTCTTGTACTTTTACACACAACAAACATTTAATTAAGCATTGTTTTAGCGAGTGTGAAGTGCGGTTTATTTTAATTTACCGCATGTTTTGGATCTTATTCAGACTCTGAAACGACAATAATAATATCTAAATATATTAAAGAAGAAATTTCCTGAACGACTGATTGACTGACTGACTCAAATTCAAGATTGGGATTGGGAGGGTATCGAAATTATTATATGGGTGAATTTTAACACGCATTTCGATTATCTCGAAACTTGTTATTTTTTACTAAAGACAAGAAATAAAGAATAACCTGCATCTGGGTTTTTCGAGAAATCTACCCCTACGAGGGTTAAGATCGGGATGAAAGTTTGTTTGAAAAATCTTATTCTTTGGGTTACCTACTAGACTTAAAAGTCGGTACGAATACTCATCTTAATAAATTATTGAGTTAGCCATTTTTGGTGCCTAAACTACCCTAAAGGGGGTGGAGGATGCCGATGTGTTTTCTAGGATGAATTTTAACGCCCATTTTGATTAACTCTAAACTCAGTCAGACTTTTGACTTGAGATCTGAAATAAAGAAATACAAGTATCGCAGTACTTTAAAGCTCTCCCCCTAACGGGGTGAAAACAAGGTTTAAACAAGGTAAATATTACTGGGGAGTATCTTACTGTGTGGCTTGATTGAAACGGCTAAACGGCTAAAAATTGGCTCGTTTATAACCCCAAAGTAAGCATTGTAGGCTTGTGTTATGGGATGCAAGAGTAACGGATAGAATACATATACTGATACATATCAATGGCTCCAAAGTATAGTATAGTGAGTTTACTAGATTTTTTAGGTTTTTTGACTTCTTGATGGATCTGACAATTGAACGACCTTATTTATCAGCCTATGTAAGAAAATATTAGAAAACCCAAATAGATTAGAAGATGATCTAGCGTATACTGGTACAAGGTTTGCTTTCTCATCACATTATCTATACTTATAATAAATCTGTAGAGATGTCAATTCTGTACATGAAATATATTTTTAAAATAACTATCAGGGGGTGATTAGTGATCGATACTGATGCCAAAAATGCAATCAGTAAATTTTTTTTCTGTCTGTCTGTCTGTCTGTCTGTGTGTATGTTCCTTATAGAAAAAAGAACTACTCGACGGATTTTAACGAAACTTGGTACAATTATTCTTCATACTCCTGGGCAGGTTATAGTATACTTTTCATCACTCTACAATCAATAGCAGCAGAACAGTGAAGGGAAATGTTGGGAAAACGGGAGAAGTTACTCCATTTTTTAAGCTTCCGTCGCGGGTGCAGCCTTAATGTTAAAGTTACATAGAAATCATGTATGACGGAAATATTCTACATAAACTTGTCTAAAAAATATCCTGGAACAGCATATGTCTATCTTTTATGGTTGACTCACAATAACACGTGTAATAATATAAATAAAGTCATTGTTTATAGCACAAGCCTGAGAACAAAAACTATAGTTTACACTACAGCTCTACACCGAAGCGAAGTGAGGACGGGCCACTAGTCTTTTATAAAACTCATACATACACACACAATCTCACTTATATGGGTCAAAATCATAGAGGTGAGCATTTTAAGTTTTCAAATGTCTGAGAAATTAAGTTTTCGTTTGAAGAAAACTACCAAGTGTAGCGTGTTGTGTATGAAGCTTTCCTGTGAAGAGGCACGCACAAAAATATATATTTTAGAAATTCTACCACTTAGTAAGAATAATGCCAGGCACAAAAGTCATTTCGCGAATACTTAAATATTTTTTTTAATAATAATATAAGCAATTTAAGAATCACCTTCCAGAAATAGGGTAATTAGACAGTATTAAAAATAAAGTACCAATTGTTAGCATCTGTGTGTAGAATGAATATTGGCAGAGGTTTTTACTATTTTTACTAAAGAAATATTCATAATTTTACTAAAAACCCACTAAAAAGATAATAGTTTTCTTATCTATTGTCACGTGATCCAAAACGCTTGGGATTGCCGGAGCCTAAAATAACGTCACACGCAAGTAAACTTCCGGTTAAAGTGACATTACATTGTATCATTTGACGTTTTAATAACATTCGTGTGACGTCACACACTAGGTAGACGCCATAATGTCCAGAGAAACGTTTTCGCGGCAACTTGAAAATGGAGTTTTTGGTTTGGTTATTTTTACTGAAATACACAATATAATGATGAGTATCCTCTTTTTACGGACTCTATAAACATTAGTCTATAACGTGAGATCGTTTTCTAAAACTTGTCAAATACCCTATTTTAATTAACCTGTTCCTAAATCGGATATTGATGTTATTGTGTAGGTATCTCTTATCTATTAGACAAGTCCGTCCGTCCGTCTGTCTGTGCTGCTGTTTCAGCGGCCAAACCGTAAGAGATAGATAAAGAGAATATTTAAGTTATAAGTTAAGAATAGTCTGATAAGACTACAAACCGGATTTGAGTAACGTAGCACTTCCGGTTTTCGAGAAATCACGAATTTCAAACGAAACCACACAAAATCTCCGAAGTTCTCAATTAATTAAAGACATTTTTTTTAATCAGGTTTTGGTGAACATTTGGTTCACTGGTTTGCTAGTATTTTTTAATTGAAAACATTTATTTTTTCAAAGTACTCTCTATAAATTTTCAATTGATGTAAATTTCGCTCCGTAATATCAATTTATTGTATACATTTTTTGCACTACCTTTGTATATTAATAATATAAATGCAAAGATTAAAGGTTATTGAATATTGTTTATGCAAGATATAACTATAGCATATACTTATTAGTGATTTATTTGCCGTTTTTGTGATGTTCCCGAAAATGATGGGATATACTGTTCTCTTTTAATCCTTTTCTTCGACTACCTTTTATTTTTATCGTTTTCCATGTTTCTCTTACTAAATGAATACCTAAAACCAAAATTATGCTTATAAAAGCATTAGAGCATCCTTTGCCCAAAAATTGTCATCTTGGGAACGCCTTATTATGTACGGGTTATGTACGGGAATATTTTCATCTAAAGAAAATATAACTAGAAAAAAAAATCAGCATAATTGGTCAGTGCATTCGCCCCGATTGCGAAGGGTGTGGGATCGAATCCCGTTTGCTGCCTGGTCCGCGTGAATTTTTTTCTAGTTATATTTTCTTTAGATTTAAACATCCAGCAGTTATATGCCTTAAAAAGAAATAAAAATTATAACTATAATTGCTATTTCTTCTTTCAAATGTAATACTTGTAAAAGTATTCATTTGACATTGTGGGTTACCTATAATGCGAAGGGATGGCGCTGCCTTGCAGCTTAAGAATGGCTAAAAGAATTTCGACGCGGTCCGTGAGGGCCGTGGTAGCATAATTGGTGAGTGCATTCGCCCGGATTGCGAAGGGTGCGGGTTCGAGTCCCGTCTTCTTCTTCTTTCTAGTTATATTTTCTTTAGATTTAAACATCAAGCAGTTACATGCTTTAAAAAAATAAAAATTATAAATATTTTCATGTGACGCTTGACGCCGCCATGTTAGATATTGGTTTTAGATGTTATGAACATCGAATATGTTCCCGTTTTAAGATTGTTCCCCCTCCTTCGCACTCTAGGCGACCTTGCATTAGGGATGTCGAAAGTTGATAAAAATATCGATATATCGATACATCGATCTTTTAAGAAATATCAATATCGGCATCGATATATCACCAAAAAAACATCGATACATCGATATATTTTCAACAAGCCTACCTTGCATTACTAAGACGCTTGAGCTTCCTAAAAGTAATACCATCTCCTATTTGAATTCCTTTTCTTTTAATGCTGCACAGCTGTGGAATAAACTTACCTCCAATAGTCAGGAATGTCCGACCATCTTCTCGTTTAAGTCTAAAATTAATGAATCGTTCTCACGAAGTATCTTGTTTCTTATTAGTATTTATTTATCATGCTTATATGTATGTTATATATATTTGGATAGGTATTGTATTTATCTATGTATATTTATGCAAGTTTATTCATGTAGGTAGGTAGGTACGGAATGCCTTGGCAATAAATACACACATACAAGTTATCTACCATAAAAGTAAAATTAAAATATATTGCAAAAATACAATTGCCAAGAAAGTAGACTAGAAGTGTTAAAAGGGACTTTTTAGGGGCTGGAATTTTTTGGGGGTTCATTTAGGGGCTTTAACAAAACTTTCAATTAAATCGAAAAACAAAGCGTGTGTTTTCTTTCAGTTTTGTGCGTAGAATGGAACGCAGCACGATATGAAACGAATGAACTCACTGTGTGGCAGGTTGTTTCCTAAGGCTGTATGGACTAAAGTTCTTTGCCTTCCACCAATCAAAACAGCTGAATAAGATTAAACCGCCTGTCAGCTTATTTTCCATTCGAAAAATGTATTTTTTCAATAAAATAATTTACTGTAACTAAATAATGTAACGTTTTAATTTATGAGCAACAAAAGAATTTAGGTAATAAGATAAGTAGGTACATATAAATTTCTATATTTAGGGGAATTTAGGGGAATTTAAAAAATACTTAGGGTAAAATTTTGGTAAGGGTTGGTAACATTGGCGTGGTTGCAGAAGTGCGGATCTGCAACATCATATTTCATGTTCAAGTTGTTGTTGTTCAACATCAACAGGTTTCG